ATGTCTCATGGCAATTACATTGTGCTAGCAAATTGAAAAACTTGAAATAACTAATGACAACATCAAAAATTAAAATTTCACAATGCTTAGATGTTTAACTTTGATTAAATTTTGAAATCATTTTTAATGAAAAATCTATATTTGATAAAAATTAAAAAATTATTTTAAGCTTTTAAAATATAAAAAATGATTGAAAATATGATTGAAAATTTTTATCTCAAATTAATAGTCATAAAAAATTTGAAAATCTTTTAAAAATAAAAATAAATAAATAATTTAATAAATAGAATAAAATAAAAAATAAAAAAAATTTATGATATAGCTGATGTAATTATCATTAACTTATGTTTTGATTGACTTTGATTAACATAATTTGACATAGTTAGTATATCACTATATAAAAGAAACAATCTCAATAAATTTTGTGTGTAATCGTGAAAACAACATCAAAATGTTGAAGCACATATCTTGTACTATGTTAATTTTTGTTCATTGGATATGGATATATGAATTTAACACCATGAGAAATGAACGTTGTTTCAAGTTTTGAAAGAGCAAAACTCAACTTTCAATATTTGTAGTGGTCAAAGAACATAGTCATTTGAAATCAATATTTAACGTGGTGAGAATTGATCAAAAAAAACATCAAGCGCAATAACAATAAATAAGTCAACAAATAAGTAATCAAATTCACAAGATCTAATACAAAAGAAATGTTTGATTTGATACATAAGAAAGCATTTTATTTTTTCATAAGAGCATGATATTATAATCTATCAATGTCATCTTTCATGACAACAATATGATGTTTAAACAATGCTATCAAAGATAATCAAAAATTTTATTGTAAAAACATGAGTAACGACGAAATGAAATAGGTATGTTTTTTTTTTTCAACACATGGCATGAAGTGTCAGTCATTTTGACTCCTGCTTAGATGCTTTCAGCAGTTATTTCATACCAAAAAAAACCCTAGCTGCTGTGACTAGTTTAAACTTTGCCGCATATTTTTCTAGATTGCTTGCATGGATTTCGAGTTGATTCAAGAAATGGTGGTAGTATGAAAATGTCATTTTTTTATCTAAATAAGTTTGATTAAGATTCTTGATGTTGTTTTTCAAATGTTTGTATTTTATTTTTATTTATTTTTTAAATTAGTATTGGATCAACAAAAATGTTCATTTTTCAAAGTGAAATTAATCATATATGTACAAGTTCAATTTTGGTTTTATATATTTCAATTTCAATTTAGCGTTCAAGATAAGAGTGTTAGATTTTTTGAAAGCTACTGATATGTACTTGGAATTAAGCGTATTTGAATGTAATTAATCACAAAAAAACTTCAATACAAAATTGCATGTAATTTTTGTTTAAATTATAGACTTAATTTTTCTATAATAGAGAGTGAATTATATAATTTGATAAGGTATTGAACTGCCCAGTACATCATTTTACTTTTGAAAAAAATAATATCAAAAATGCTTGATGAAGATGTGAATCCATTAAAAACATCTTCAATCAAAGAACAAATTTTTGGCAAATTGGAGTCAAAACTAAATATGCCTAAAAAGAATTGAAAATGAAAAATAACTAGACTTTTAATTTTTTCCTTGGACAAAAATTTGATGGCTATATTATTATTATGAATGATTACATAATTAAGATGGTTTTAGATATTTTTCTATTGGAAAAAAAATACTGAATCAAAAACAAACAAGTATGATGTTTTTATTTTGACTATAGGAGTAAACCAAAAAATGTGAATACACTTTGTAAATAATCTATCTTACTTGTTTTTGCATGAAAATTTGTGTTATTCACATATGTATTCATTGTGAATACATCTATATCTTTTCCATGAAGTTTTAAATTATTTAAGTATCTACGTATTATCAAGCATCTAAGAATCATTTTGCTCTCAAACTGCTTATAAAGCTATTTTTGAAAAAATTGTATTTTTGTGTGCATGCATGTGCACATTTTTGTGGAGCGTAGCACACAAAACGTTGCATCAACACTGTAATCAAAGTAAATCATTCACTACATCAAATCTCCATGTGTTGGAGATAAAATAATTTTGAGCACGGATTTATATCATGTAAACTTGAATACAAAGCTTTAATTTCAATTAAATGATGTTATTTTGATAAAAAATTTTTCTTTTTTAGATATTTAATATTCAAATACCAAATGATCTTACAAAAGTATATGATAATCAAAAATATTGATGATGCTAAGTTTGACAGTGTCGAGTATGATAGACGTTATGAAATTTGAAAACGTGAGGTAAAGAAATACAAAAATCAAAATAATTTGAAAAAAGGATAAGATCAGAGATTGTTTCAATGTCAAATGGACAGATATGCAAAACATCTGTGCATAAAAGAGCTATAAACGTAATCTTATTCAATCTTCAACCTTATATTATCAAGCATACGAATGAATGCAAGGATTGTGTTACTTTTTTTTATGATCAACTTGAACTAAAGTACCATCGAAAAAAGATTCCACACGTATTTGAAACCGATGAGCTTCAAGATGAACATTGGAATGATGATACAAGACCATATTGATGTTTTCAATGATCTTGTTATGAACTTGCAAAATCTTGATGGGGAGTTAAATGATGAGATACAAATTGTTTGAATTCGATTCATATAATTCATCTGTCTTTTTCATGAATATTCCTTCATTGTGATTGAAAAAATGATCAACTACTTGATGTTAGATAATGAATGCTGTTCTCATAAATGATTTTCATCGAAAGATGATATGAGATTTCAAACCATCATCTTCATTAGTCACAATATTGAATGTGAACCATATAGGATCACAAGTTAATAAATTGCAGTAAAAATTCAAGACTAAATACAGATCCACAAGAAATCTTAAGATCGTACAGTGATATGTTGAAAGTATGATCAAGCGAGCAATGTTATAAAAGATTGTATGAGCAAAACATGCAATTATTGCTAAGTTGTTTGGACTATGTCATAATGAAGATTATATGACTTTTGTACTTCAGTTCAATCAAAAATATATAATGAATTATGCAAGGTGTCTCTCTGCGTTATATGTGTTATAGATAGAATTATTTTGGAAATTACATTGTATTAAGAAATTTGTCTTCTTTGATTAGAATTATTGAATTTGTAAAATGTCAATTGATGTCAAATGATTATTTTTTATAATCTTTTAAATTCTATCACAAATGTTAGGCATAATTCTAACATAAGTAAATTTTAATATTTTTTTGTATGTTAGAAACAATTATCAATGCAAAGTACTCAAAATTAGAATCAAGCGAAATTATTTCAAAAAAATGTATAGACATTCTATTAATTTTCTTCAAGAATTTGAAAAATGATTCATTAAACTTAATCATAAGATGAAAAAATACTCTTTGATGATGATGATAAGGCTTTTATTTTAAAGAGATCTAATCTTTTTCATACGGCAAGGTTTAATTTTGTTGCATAGACTTGAATCAAATTCAGCAATGCAAAGGTAGATGCAATCCTTAATTAACAACAAGACTTGAAAGTTAGAGAGACTAAGGAAATATCAAAAACTAATGAACTAAAAATTAATTTACAAACTGAACAACTATTTGAAGTCCAAGATAGCTTAAGAAGATAAAGTGAAAGTAGTCATATTTTTTATTTACACTAGGTGTCATATTGCTCTTGTAAGAGACAAGACTAGCATAAACATGTCAAATTAAGAAAAAAAGAATAAAAAGTTGTAAATGAAATTTGTACGCGTATACAAGATTTTTTAGACTTTTACAAGTGTACATTGAATCTTGACCTTCTACTTGATGCAAAATTGTACCATGTCAAATCACTGATTGGTTTTATAGATATTGACTATGTACAAGATTTGAATGAAAAAAAATCTACAATTGGATATATGCTCATAGTTGGAGGTGGATGCATGAGTTTGTCATGTACATTACAGAAATGTGTAACTTAATTCATTACAGGAATTGAGCATGTAGAGACAGAAAAAATTCCAAAAAAAGAAATTTGATTGAATAGGCTTCTCACTTAAATGGAATAAATTCATGACATTATGAATATTCATTGTGAAAATCAAAGTAACTAGCATCTAGCTGTGAATTAGAGTGATCATTAGCAGAGGAAACATGTAGACATCATATATCATTTTCTAACACCAATTGATCTCAAGAAAATCTATGCCATTACTTTTAATATCTTAATGCGAGACTCCGATAAAGTTTACGAGTAGACTTGTGACCTCAAGCGTATGTAGGACTAAATATATAGTGAAGGAGCTATTAAGTGAGTGATTACTTACAACCGTAAACGAGTAGTTTAGTCACCGTTTCTCCATGCGAGATTATGAATTAGATTACCATGATTTCTAGCACGATTTTTGAATTTCCTGCCTCCACCGATGCTTCAATCCAGATATGTCTGTGTAATTATAGCGATATTTCCATATAATCTGGATTGATGCTGACCACAGCAGTAGATATGGATACAATACTTATAACGTACAGAATGCTCTTTTGTCGACGAATTCTTCTGTGTACCCAACAAAATGGATCATCATAAGTCATTGGAAGTTGCAATCAGATTCTCAGACTCGAAAAGGGAATGGGACATCGAGGTCCAATATTACATGAACAGCTCAAAGTCAAGGGCTGCAAGTTGGAGATTTAGAACCGAGAATCGAGATGATGCTTTTGTATTTGTGGAGGTATGCATTGGGCTCGAATGGAGGCGAAGGGATCAATCAGATAAGAGCGTAAATAAGAAACGTCGACAGGACTCGGCAGGAGAACCCTGTGTTTGTTGTGGTGATGAGCGGCTGTTGTAATGGGCCTGGATTGGTACGTCGCGCACAAGGTCGTGAAACTGAAAGCCCCGTATCGATGACGCCCGGTCTATCTCTAGCACACCTAACTTGACCTCGAGTTGTTAGTACTTGAATGCTGGACTCGAGCAGGTTCCACCTCTTCTTCTTGCCATATGCGCATCCGGCGCTGCGGCAGTTTGTGCCAGACATATATAATTTAGACATCAAACGACTACAAACTGGATTGGGCTCCTTTTCAATCGCATCATTTCTCCAGCTTATCTCCCTCGTAACCCGCTCATCATGCAGAAGATTTCAGCGTTAACGGGCTGGCGAGTCAGACGAGAGGTCAAGATGTAGTGCGCTTCGGTGCTGGCCGTCCGAGAGAAGAATGTCGACCTGAGAATCCTTGGCCAGGATCCAGTTCAGACTGTGTTCTTGAACCATTTGTGACCGAAGTGAGCCTCCCTTCCAGTATCAGTGAATAGATTTAGCACTGACCTTATTCCCTCGGCAGCACTCCTCAATTTTGGCTCTTAGTCTACGCGCATCATTCTTCTTGTCGTGAGTATACATGTCACACCACTATTCTAGTCTCTCTCTCTCTTCTTAACATTTGAGTTTCAGTTGTACGTCATACTTCGAACATGATTCAGATTGAATAGCACTGAAAGTAAGAAGAGTATGGCATTCCTTACGCTCAACACATAAACAAACAAAGTGGCAGCAGAAGCACGGAAAGTTGTCTCCGGGCTGCGTTGCATGTAAGTCCTGTAGCTCGCCATATGCAGAATCTATGGATCATTGATGAGGATAATAATCACAGAGCTTTCGAAGAGTGAAGTATGAGGTAGTTGTAGTGAGACGAGAGGGATCCGGGAGGTAGTCTGATTTGCCAGTAATTGATGAAAGCTCGTTGACAGACTAGATCGCCCATGGTCCGACGACGATGATGAGTCTCGAGAGCCCATCGAGGATACCGCACGAGAGCACACTCCAGGATTCCAGCAGTCGTCATAAGCTGATGGACATTTTCCCCTTAAACTCGAACGACGATGACTTGAGTGCTGAACTTTTGGTAGACTGGAGGGGCAGACCGTCACAAAAGAGCTCGTCTGGCATGTGGAGGGCTTCTTCCTTCATATTCGGTAAGAGACTCATCTCACTCTTCGTCCCTTTAACATAGATTTCCAGCAGGACGAGCGTAACAATACGTACAGAACCACTGGATGTTCTCAGATATCTGATGGAGATATCTGAGAATGCTGCGACTCTGAGTATGGTGATGAAGGTGGCCGAGATCCGTAGAGTGGATATACAAATCGAAGCCAACTAGCTACAGATGGTGACCTCGCAGAATATGAAGAATGCGTTGATAATTGGTCTGCTTCAGAACTAGAAGAATGAGTTCCTGGAAGATAGTCCAACTAAAACCTGGGAATTCGCGACTAGGGTGCTGGTATCTTGAAGCCATCGATTACATATACCTACATACTACCCTTTTCTTCAGGCATCCGGCTGAAGTCAAGAGAATTACTTGCATTGTCAAATTTTTCAGGCATCACAGGGTTGGAATTTTGCGCCTTCTTTGGCGTTGCCTTGAATATGGTTCCATACATGATGAGCACCATGCGGTTCAAGCAAGCTGATGCGGCCAATACTTACACCAATTTTGCGGGTACTTCTTATCTGCTATCATTGTTCACGGCATTCATAGCAGACACGTACTGGGGCCGCTTCTGGACGATTGTTGTCTTTGGGTTTGTGGAATTTCTGGTACACAATTTCCTTCAACTTCAACTTTCGCATTGCTTATCAAATTTCCACTGTCAAAAGCTGGCTATTACATCCCTCACTCCACTTGCATGATTTTCCATGACTTTCTCAAGGCTCGAGCCCCTCGAAATGACTCAGTACTGATCTGAACTCTGCAGGGAATGCTTCTGTTCGCTTTATCTGCATCAGTTAAAGAGCTGAAACCTGAGCCATGTACGATCACGGACAGCGGAAAGCTGTGTCCGCAAGTTTCAAAGCTCAGCCTGGCTGTATTATATCTTGTTCTGTACCTAGTGGCTCTGGGATCTGCTGGGATCAGACCCAACTTACCGTCGCATGGAGCGGATCAATTCAGTCCCAAAGATCCAAAGGAAAAGAACGCCATGTCTCGATTTTTCAACTGGTACTTCTTCTCGATCTGCGCGGGCGCGCTCGTGGGTGTGGGAGCACTGGTCTACATAGACGATTCGATCGGCAACAAGGTGGGATTCGCCATTTCAGCTGGGGTGATGTTGGCAGGGGTGCTGTGCTTTGCTACGGGCGCGCCGTTCTTCAGAAACAAATTGCCGGATGGAAGTCCTCTCACTCGCATAGCAGAGGTGCTGGTTGCGTCCCTCAGAAACCGAAGCCTCGCCCTCCCGGACAACGACGATGACTTTTACGAGGTCGCTCCGAAAGCAGGAACCGGTGCTCTCAACTCCCAGACGAAACTCCCTCGATCCACCCAACTCATGTCAGTACTACTGCCCCGATTCAAACTCGACTGCATCTTCTCTGTCCATCAGTTTTTCGTTCTTCTGTAGGTTCTCGAAATTAAGCGCTTAAAATTCTGTCACTCGGTCCGATGAGAGAAGGATGTGTGACTCTGACCGATTTCTATGGTACTCGTCCGGTTTTGTTTCCAAGAGCTTCATCACAATAACGAATGCAGTAACACACGTGTTTCAATTGCCGATGTGTGTACTAGAGCTTGAAGGTTGTCTACTGGGTACAACTTTCAAGCTCTAGACTGAGCCTTCAGCCTCACTCACACCTTCATTTTCATGTTTACCTCATTATTTTATAAGCTGCGTTAATTGCTCTTAGTGTCGGCGGAATATAAATAATACATTTGATCGACTAAAAGTATCTACTCTTATAGGCATTGTTATCAGATATGAGACCTGCTCGGTCTCAGATCTGATCCTTACCGCCATGTTACTTCACTGGGTTCACTTTCTAGCTCTAGTAAGTCTTAGCAGCAAGGCTTGAATGCAGCTCTTGACGAGAATCACGGCAATGGATGCAATGGAGTCGATATCATCGAGTGCGTGCACGTCTAATCTGGATGTGAATACGTGACCCAGGTTTCTGAACAAGGCAGCGATTCGGCGGGCGTCGAAAGCCGGGGCCGGAATGGAGTCGGACGAGGAGGAGGCGGCGCAGCCGAGCCGCTGGAGGCTGTGCACGCTGACGCAGGTCGAGGAAACGAAGGCGGTGATCAAACTGCTGCCAATCTGGGCGCCCTTCATCGTTCTGAACACGTGCGTGGCGCAGCTGCAGACGTTCTCCATCGCGCAGGGCGTGACGATGGACAGGACCATCGGGTCCTTCAAGTTCTCGGCCCCGACGCTGGTGGTGATCCCCGCCACCTCGCTCATGATCATGGTGCCGCTGTACGAGCGAGTCTTCGTCAGCCAGATGCGCAAGATCACAGGCAACCCGCAGGGCGTGACATTGCTGCAGCGCATGGGGGTGGGATTGTTCGTGTCCATCGTGTCCATGGGCATCGCTGCCATGGTCGAACGCAGGCGGATCCGAATCGCATCCGAGCACGGGCTGCTGAACATGGTGGACTCGACCGTGCCCTACTCCATCTTCTGGCTGCTGCCGCAGTACCTGGTCTTCGGCCTGGCCGACCTCTTCGCCTTCACGGGCTCGCTCGAGTTCTTCTACACGCAGGCCCCGGACAGCATGCGCAGCCTGTCGAGCGCGCTCTCGTTCGGCTCCATGTCGTTCGGCTTCTTCTTCAGCACCATTCTCGTCGAGCTCGTGAACAAAATCACGGCCCACGGCTCGCAGCCTGGCTGGATTGCCGAGCAGATCAATCACAGCAAGCTCTACAATTTCTACTGGCTTCTGGCCGGGCTCAGCGTCGTCAACTTTCTCGTTTATGTCAAGTGCGCTCAATGGTTCCAGTACAAGGAAGTGGCCTGCGAGCCACGCGATCCTGAGCTCGACCGTAGTTTCGACGACGAGGCTAGATCCCGATAAATAATCCTACAGAAGCTCTGGCCCATCCAAAGCGAGCTTCCGTCTGCATGTCGCTGTTCCGAAGCTCGCTCGATCCATCCATCGATCTTCGTGTATATTATTCTTCATACTCTGGTGTGAATATTGGAATCGAAGCTCTTCATCACTCTGAGATTACGTATGTATTTGTTAGTGTATGTGTGTATTCATGTATAATTCGTGTATGAGTATATTGTATACGGTCGACTTGCTAAGGAACTGTTGTTGAATGAGGCCTTCGGGAGAATCGTACAGTACTGCATGTATACTTGAGAACGTTCGGACCCCTCCGGCCCTTTGACTGCCTTATTTATTGCCTCGAGTTTTGTACTGACTGAGTGCGTATTCACGTGAGTGTTTTGGCGACCCCCCCACCCAATTTCACCACTTTGTTATTATCCACATGGTCTTCAATCAGCAAGCTCCCCGCAGCCTACTCCGTATATCTCCATCATTTCCACGTCTCGTTGTCCACAACTTTTTATTGCGCTAGGTAACGGTTCATAAGTTCTGTAGAACTGACAACATATGATCACAGCTCATCTGTTAATACATACAGATATCGCAACGTCATGTTTATTATCTTCGTATAATTTATAGTGTAAAAATATCACCGTTCTAATTCTTGAAGAATTTTTTACTCGAAAGTCAGATGTATGTATATAATTTGATACATTTACTTATATACTCAGTGTCACGATTTCGGTGTTTACGTGAATTGAAATATCAATGCCAAACATCGTAATAGTATCACAAAATAGATCACATTTTATTAAAAATATATGAGAAATGTGTACACCTTTTGATATACTCATAAAATAAAAGGTGAAGATGTAGTCCAAATAAAATCAAAAGTTTTAATGACTCATCGTCTTTCTCGGTCAGAGTGTAGATATCGTTCACATTCGAAAATTGAAAGTAATGTGCACATAGATGTATCGGTCTTTCTTCGTTACAGTGAACATATTGTTGACATTTGGCAAATGACATGCACATGGATGTCTGAGGTCCAGTGATAGTGTGTAACATGGAGAAAAACAATTTTCTTAAGTCACTTGTCCGTTTAATAGCTGTACCCCGTGTTTTACTACTCAACATTACTTAGTCCAAACTTCATGACTACCATGGTATAGCTGAGGAACTTTAGTTCAATCAAAACCGACTTTAACCCTTTCCTGTACAGTCTACCTGTGAAATGTAATATACAGAGTATGTACAAAGTTGTGGCTTCCCAGATTAGATTATAGATGTAACCACGGTTGCGTGTTGTACGTAAGTAGAACTATGCGCACTTACTTCCATGTGTCACAATGCCTTCTACGTGACAAATGTGATGACTTTCTTCCCATTCTTGAGTAGAATATTTGGTCATAGTATTTTCGATCCTCTCCACAGAGCACTTGGTGGAACACTAAGGCAGTACATCAATTGCATTCAATGTTAATTATTGAGATGCTCGAGTTGTGAGATTAACAAGTCTGCATGTGAAGATACTCTAAAACTTGAAACTGCGGAAAGACTACTGTTTCTCTAAATGTATCTAAAATCAACTAAAAAAAACGTAATCATTAGATTAAAACCCAAACATCAGATTATGGGTAATAGTGATGTCTGACGCGCTAACTTTCAAGTTAGTAAAAAGGCTGCCACAACTCAATCCACGTGCTAGTCGACGAACACCTGCAGATAAGCAAGAGAGCCATGATTTTCTTAACTTGCTGTGCACCATTTCGAAATTAACAAAGCACCTAGCCCGAATTCGGATAATGACACTCTGTCAAAAAATGACCAACGTGGCTTTGTGTAACAATTATTTTAAAAAAAGTTACATCATATGTCCGCTGGACACTATCGACCCTGACTCGGACATACAAGTGACCAACCTAGGTATTGCGCCAAGTCCCGATCGAGAGTTACACTGCAGTGGACAGTATACTGCATATTATCACATGACGCATGGGGTGACCATATTTTGTGAACAACTATAGTTCCGAAGCTGTGCTTAATATAATGTGTCGTAACCAGCCAAGACTAAATGCTTCTTGTAAGGTTCAACCCTTAGTTTGGTGTCACAAAACTGTCATTTAGTGAACATAGCGAGGATCAAAAATTACTATTTCAATGCACAAAGAGAAACTAATCCTCCATCATGAACAACTGAGAATAGCAGAAGTCGAGGTCTACACTTCGTCAGAACTTCGGGATGAAGAAGCTTCTGTCAACTGACCTTAAGGTGTAAGTAATAAATTAAACAATGCCGTAACTTGTCAAAATTGTTAACATATAACAAATTCTCGAATAAATTAACATCCCCGGTCCCTGCCCTTGACCCTAACATTTACTTTAAGGGAGGCGCAGAGGTGAGACATGATGAAGGAGAAAGACTAGTGTGAAAATTTACAAATTGCTCACCACCCGGACCTAAGTTAGACGTAGCTCTGTACTTTATAAATCAGGCTGGTGGACAGCATATTCAACTGTTATTTGCCGGCCTGCTAGATGAGATCTGCGGCACAAGAGAAGCAACAACAGCAGCCTCAGCGTTCATGTGACAAATTCATGAGAAAAAAAAAGTGTACTTCTAGATTGCATGGGACTAGACTCGGTTTGATGTTAATCAGCACGAAACGATGCAAGAAGATAACCAAATCTATAAAACCATCGAAGAAAGCATGCGCTAAAAGTGGGCTACTGAAAAGTGCAGTCGTACAAGCAGAAACTATCATGAATATGCGATATAAGTGCGGGTACTAACACAAACGTAGATGGGGGATATGGACGTACAGAAGGTAGTTGCGTTCACTGGTAGCATGCCACACAGGGGAGTAGAAAGTTACAAACTGACGACGTGTTGAACTTACAGAGGCATGCCACGTGCCAAATAATTGTGATGAATATCCACCCAACTTCGCTTACTAAGAAACAAGATACAGCAATACTCAACAACAAGATGCCAATAAAATAAGAACGCAAACTGCACCTATGCAAATGCCGTTGTGCGGAAATAGCTTCAGATACACTTGCAAAAGTTATGGTGAAAGCATCTCCTCGGTCCTCCTTTCGGAAATCCTGCAGCACAAGACCACTGCTTCAATACCGTCGCCAGGTCAACCACTAGAGCATCAACTATGAGCTAGGTTTAGACTAAATAACCCACGATTGACACTCTAAACTTGAATACGTTTGAAACGTTTAAGGTCCGGCATTAAAAAGGAGAGTGATGTACATTAACGTTCTAAAGGAAGTCACCGGCATATTACTCGAGAACCTCCTCCCGATAAAATATATTGTTTGGTTCTGAAAGCCTACACGTTGGATTTGTGAAGTTCAAACATTCCAACTCCAAAGGCTTACCGACCACGGGCATTAGTCGGTTTGCTACCATAAAATGAATTTGCAGGAACAAAGGGATAATCCCAAAGCAAGAATGTACTTCTCACATCTCGTGATGTTCTTTCGTGATGAGGTACTTCAATGTGACTTCAAATTTCTTTAATGTTTAGTGACTTTAATGTGTCCAATACAAGAACAGTTTTTTTTTACGGTGGCAAAACCGGTTCCTCGTCCACCAATTACCTATTGCTTCATTACTTGACACTAGTCTACGAATATCACATCCAGACGAAAAGCTCTTCAGAGCTACACCCAAAAAAAAGACGTTGAACATACCGTGACTTTTCCTTGCTTCTCAAAGGCATCGACAACAACTGACATCGATGTATTATCTGGCAGGCCACTCACGGTCAACACCCTGTGAATACAAATGAAAGAAGTGAGCAGATGTCCATGCCAATGCTTTAACGTAGATAACTTGGCCAAGTAAGTTCGGAGATATTTTCTCATAAGTCTTTCAACCAGAATCAGTCTCATAGTCCTAGATATCAAATTCAAGACAACCTTCGACTCAAAGAATTCAAAACTTTCTCCACCTTTATTGAAGACCCTAAACCCTAAACTATACTTGCCATATGTTAATTATTATAGGTGGTGGGTCAAAGTCGAGCTAAAACGAATGAGAAGAGCTCCACGTGAACAATACAGGCTCACTGACCTGCTCTTTTGAACAGGACCACCAAGCTGAATCAAATTACTGGCAGATGCTGAACCGTTGCTGAGACCATGTCCTTGAGGCGTCAAAACATTCTTCGACGCATTGCTTAAATTAGTGCTTGATTCTTTCTCCCGTCCAAGCTCTCTTTCTCGCTTGTTTCCAGCTCCACTGGTACTAGACATCACATTCTTGAGATCCTTTTCCTTCTTCTGAGGAGCACCGTTTCTTGAACCGCATTCTCCATCTACTCTCCACGTTCCATCGGGTTCCAATTTTCCAACTGGCTCAGCCCTCTTTAAAACTCTCTGTGATTCACTAAGATGTCCGATGGTCTGTGAAGACTGCCGCGCTTTTGCAGGTCCCATAGTCATCACATCTGCACCCCTAGCCTGCACCATATTTACAGTTTCACCGACTCCTATACCTTGAGCTTGGACTCCTTGAGCTGCCGCAGCTTGCGCCATAACGTGTGGATCACTCCAGATGGGACCTGCCACCTGCCCTCTTCCTTGACCCCTCCCTCCTACGGCAAGTAACTCACCATTCTGGACAGTACTGGATCCCCACGAGTTTTGTCTTCCCATGCCATTTCTTTGAGAAGATCCCATCCGACCAGCGACTTGTCCAAACATACCTCCCGGTCCCCTACCGCCGTAAGCTGCCCGTGTATTTCTTGAGAAGGCATCGACAGGGCCCACAAAGTTCATCTGTGCTGTCAAATCTGGACAGGCCTGGAGGTGCATCATCCCTTGGGGAAACTGTCCTCCAAATTCCATACCTGGCATTGGCCTCATCCCAGGACCTGCAACTGGTCCGGCCAATGGGTGCCTTCCGCGACCAGCAGCATTGGCATGCGCCAACTGTTGCATATAGTGATGAGAACGTAACATGTGCTCTTGTACTGCCATCACTTCCTGCAAATGCATCTGAGAGTGAAACCAGGTCTTTCCGTCAGCAGACTAATTGATCTCATTCAGATCGTCATAAGTAGTTTCCTACGATCTAGGCACGTTCTTCCAATACATAGGGTTAAACTGATGGTAGGAGTTGTAAATACGGATGTCATGGCCATATCATGTAGCTCATCTCGTCATGGGTTCAGTAATGATACCCTTCTATACGTACTGCGACATTAGTACACAAAGTCTAAACCAACTGAAAATGCACTAGCTAGTTCATTGCTGTTAAAGGTAGCATATTGAACTTACATTTGTTCTGTTGGCCATTTGTATTCCAGCGAGAGGTCCCATAAAACCACGACCCATGGGCCGCAATGGTAGTGTAGCCGGATCTAAGGGCACAAGAGGTCGTCCAGGCCCCATAATACCTGGAGCCATATTTGCGGCACGGCCGAATCCGCCCACTTGCATTACGCTTCGGACACCTGCACCATCGACTTTAACAATTTATACTGTCCTGTCCTGTCCAAAGAACACTTGAGAGGAGTAAAGTGAAAATTTTCTGGTTGCTTGCGTTTGTCGAGTAACCCAGCCCAGGCACTATGGAAACTTCACGGGACCCAACCGAACAAGGGACCAACCTTTATGACCCCCTCCCAGCTACTTCGATTTAACATCAAGTGTCAAGCACCATGCTAAAACTCACAAAGACCACTCCAGCAGATATTTTACAATCGAACAGAAACAGATGGAACCTCAACTTGGTACCAGAAACACTATCCACATTTTTCTTGGAAACTTCACTACAGATGTGAGAGACCTCGTAAGAAAGAAACGTACCAGCATTACCAGCCTTGGAAAAACCTCCTGAGCGCTCCAACGGCCTCTCAGTGCTGAATAGAGCATGAATATAATCAACACACAAACTGATACATGGAGTAAAACCAGGTACAAAGCTCCACCGCCGTACATGGACTGACACTCCTCAAGGGTTCCAACGTACATGTAACGAAGCATCCATTTACTGTTGCAAAGAAAAGTATGGCCGAATAAGACCTCTGGGTAGATCACAATAGCGTTGTACCTTCCCCGGCTGCGATGTTGGCGACCAGCTATTGAAGTAAACGACTCCCTTTCCTTTCGATCCGAGTTCTCGGAAAGCCTCTCGGGTGCAAATCTATCTTTCCTCCTCTTCCTCTCCCGGCGATCATTTTCGTTTTCGTCGTCGTCATCCGCATTCCCTTCTGCTTCATTATCAGAACCCTCAGGCTGTTTCCCGCATTACCAAAGTCCACATATGAGTGCTACAACTCGGAAATCAGCTATTTCTAGCCTTTCTTCTTGACTTGTGCTGCATACGCTGCGACACCAAACTTACCCCTTCCCCTTGCTACTGAACCTTTCCTTTGGCTATCTAAAACACTCAACTCCTTCCTTTCCATTTGCTCCCAGCAAGACCCACGTACTAAGAAGAAACTTAAAACTGGACAAAGTGCTAGATTTTGACTGTTAAGAATTTCTGCGAGGGGACAAAGTCCATAAACCCAAACAGATCTGTGACCCCTGCTTCAACTCGCATGCAACAGGAATGGAAAGGAGCACACGAGCAGCCCCATGAACCACCTCCTAATCTATATTCAGATCCTCAACAGAGTAACCTCTACATACTTACAACTCATCAAGATCTCTTGCATCCCTGATGATTGATGGTTTCCACCACATCCAGCAGGCACGTTTGGGAAACCAATAATTATCTGACCACGCTGTGTATGGAGTAATACTCAGAGTTCTCAATCACCCTAGGAAATGTTGTACCATGCTGTACTCAAAGAGGAAATTTCTAGGGCAGTGATGTATAGTAAGCCTTAAATAAGGCAACATGTTGTGAAAACAGAGTTCGGAATTTGTGGAGGCCAAAGCTGGGAGAGGAAACACTGGTGGATCAGACAGAGGGGAACTAGGCTTTTTTCTACTACTTGTAGAAAGGGTTTCCATGATGAATGAATCAAACTGATATGGTACATTGATGTCCACCTCTCGAAATAGCTCCGACAATCCCTCCGATCGCCTGGCGGGCATTGATGCTGCACTTATCCTTTTCAGCTGCTCTGTCTATGCAAAGTGTGCTACTTTGAATCTCATTTCCGGCTTCTCTGTTGTGCAGTAACAAGGTAAAACCATCCCTCCACGCATCTCTCAAGGCAGAAGGATATCTCACGAATGTAAACTCGCACACAACATGTATGGGTTCCCACTTTTGTATTTCTCTCAACCTTGTCAAGGAATCTCTCGCATACGTTTGACAAATCTAGAGACCATATGCCTTATGTCAGGCGATTGGAACAGGGAAGACTGAAAGCTAAACACGGAAATATGACAGGACTGGCAGGAGAAAAAATAGTACTTTTCTGATTGAAACTCGAAAGGAGACAACGCTAGGGACTCTCTTCATGGATACCCGGGAGTGATGGAGTTGCGACACAGAATAGCACAGCTTTGTGGTGATTTTCTCATAAATTTTGAAGTTGACACTTCTCAAGACGGAACATTGGATGTCACGAAGGCAATTCAAGTTTCAGAACGAGGCGCTTGCATTCGCAAGAAGCACAAGCTGTTGCCCCTCACTCGCAAATAGCAGGGACTGCTGTGTGGGCTGGTACCAAAACGGGAGGCATCTGGAGAGACTTAACACATGAGATTGACTTTACTGGCTTCATATAAACAGACATGCTTTAAGTTTTGAGGGTGACTTGATGCTCAACCACAGTTTTCTAAGAAAGGAGATGGCGTCACAGAACTCTTTTCAACACTAGCCACATGTAATGTCCAGGGACGACAGGAACAGCCTAGCGGCTCGGAGGAGGGGGAGCCAAGTCCAGCTTGCGAGAAAGGGGCTGTTCACAAAGGAAAAAGAAGGGCGAAAGATAGCAGTAGTAGTAGGCACAGCAGGAGGAGCAAGATAAAGAACAAAGAGAAAGAGAATTGGGATCACCATGGCAGCGTCGTCAAGCTCGCCATCCTCCAAATCAGCTTTACGGTGCTTTCTTCTAGTCTCCCCTACCCTTCCCTCATAAGAATGGTTGTTGTTTGCTACGACAAAGCTCGAAAGAGGCTGCACCACCACTCCATCATCTTTCTCGTCCTTTTCTTCTTCAATTTCACCGCTCTCCGCTCCTTCTCTCCTCTCATTCTCTGTTTCGTTGAGAAACATGACGTCGTGTTCGCCTGGATGCAGCGGCCCACCTCCGTTTACCTGTTGCCCTGTCTCCGTCTGCTTGCCCTCCTCAGAGGTCAACACAGCATTCCCTTCAACACCCACAAGGTGCGGTTGCACGACCTCATCGTCAATCTCCAGTTCTTCGTCAGATCCAAATCCATAGTCCGATCCCTCAAAATCCACCAGCTCTTCATCCTTGACTTCGTACTCTCCATTATCCATTTCGGCCATTGCGCGAGCCCACTTTCCGTCGAGGCTTCACGACAATCAGGAACCCACCAAAAAAGCCCCTGGATAAAATACGGCCCTAACGTGAACGGGTTGACTTCGTCCTGAATATATCATCAGGGTGACTGCGTAACCAGTATACGCAACAATGGTAGGCTTCGACCTGCTCAAAACGAAGACCCTACATGTGTACGGGGTGGTTCCACACTCTTATGAGACCTAAGGCAGAACCTTCTAAAAAAAATGTCAAGAGCAAATTGTGGCTCAAACATAGACACAAATGGTGTTTCAGAGGGAGAAGGTCAAGTGCCTCAACAGAGCCCAAATAGTCGACTAAAAGACTGAGATTGGTCTTCGGCCCCAACAATTGCTTCAAGCAAAGCCCGGCTGAAACTGACACGGGGAGGTCAAAAATCGCAGGATAAAATTGTGATCAAAACTTCTGGAAAACTCGTAACAGGCACAACTGTTCAAAGTTCAAGGGGGGTGTCGGACAAGAGGAGGGAGGAGAAAAACAGCTAATGCTGCTCCATCCATGAATAGAAGCAAGGGCCCCGAGCACGCATGTTCCGCTGTTCAATTGCGACCTGCCTTGGCCCGAAAAAAAAGATAATGAAAGGTGGTCCACACGCAAAGTATATGAAGACCGAAACATACTTCTGTCAGCTGTGATTCAAATGCCCTTCATCCTCATTCCGTCACACTCGGAAATCGAAGGCTCCAGCACCACCGACAACGAACCTCTCGTCGTCCTCATCGACTCGAGATCGCTGCCCCGAGCTCCCCACTTCAGACGCCCCGCACTGCCGCCCTGCGCTATCCCCACAGATGGTCATAGGGAACTCCCGACCCACCTCCACACCGGAGGCAAAGCAGCAGAATGGCCCAACAGGAGCACCCTCCCTGCGCTCTGCACCACCGTTGCCGAATGTGGTTCACCAAACGGACCCCTACTCGGGTGCAGGAGGGCGCAATGTTGCGCTTCCACCTCGTGCTCCTCCGCGGCAATCCCTTGCCTTCCCTCGCCTTCGGTTACGGGAGCAGCCTCGGAAATAGAGAGGCTGGAATTCGTGCGCACTCTGGTTGCAAACCTTTCGATCGGTCATAGATTGCGACAGCTACTGCTCGCCTGCCTGCCTTCCTGCCTTCCTGCTTGCGCAGTTGATGAGTTGAGGAGTCGCCTACAAACACGGTTCCGTGGACATCTCGCGGCCTGGCCAATCGCGACGAAGACCGACCTCGCTGACTCTTTCCTCTCTTCCCCTCGCCCCCTTCCTCTCGACTTTCATACTCTCTCTTTCCCTCGGCCAGGGCCCAACACTTTCCTCTAAACTGCCCGCTGCCCCTTTCCTCCTCCTCCTCCTTCTCTTCCTCGTCTTCCTCCTTAGAGAGAGCGCTTCTCGGACGATGTTCTTGACGGTACACAGTCCGAGAACAGAAAAGGAAAATTCGACTGTTGCCGAGGATAATGCACTATGGCACGCACAGAAGCCACAGAATTACACCTCGAAAGCATAGCACGGCTGAAAGCGATTTCAGGTCTAACCACTCTCGCGATGTGACGTTCCATCCGCCATCTCACCTCACTCATCTTCCACGATGCGATGCGACTCTGAAAAGGAGGGGCCTTGAATGGACATCTGAGCCACCTTCGAGTTCTTTCGACTGTTGATTTAGACGGAAGAGAATATTCATATTCTCCAGTGATCCATTTTGTACATGTTTGCATCAATCGAATTCCCCTTGCGTGTTGATAAGTAGCAGTACGAAGATGAATACTTTTTGAATATCTCCCTAATACGTCTGCTAGTGATCCTTTGTTTGAGTGATGAGTTTAACTGGACACCAAGTGATCAGTACAGCGAACCGAGCCTAGTAAATGTGGATATATAACATAGCTCGTATCTGCACGGTGAAATATGTACATCCAGTCTATATATACTCTGATATACTCTGAATATTATTTTCAGTCAGAATAATCAGGTTGTATGCAGAAATATGAATTTATACCTTTTTGGTTCCTTAAGGGCCGTATATAAATGTATACATGGGAACATCGTAGCTATATCACTCTGATGTTTGTATATCGAAGCATTTCCTGCCACTGAAGGTACAACTTATAGAGTCTAATTGTCCCGGGTACAAACTCTTCCTATTTAATCATACACGTGTACAAGTGTTATTAGAACTTCTTCACTATGACATATGTTTAGATCACATTGATAAATTTACCAGCTGATTTGGATCTTTCATATTACTTCAAGTATTTTGATATTGGATAATGATAGTGCTCTTGAATTTACGTTACACGCAAGCAACATTCGTCTGATCTCGACCCATAAGTTTCTGTTTTACAATGAATTCTCTCCGTTTGTATCGCATACCGCTATTTGTTACCACAAAGACACTCTATGATAGATACTCCCATGTGCAAATTGTTCAAAAACCTTTTGATCTTTTAAGATTTTAGTAGTTTAATTACAGTACAAGACATCCGGCTCAACAGTCTGACGTAAAGGTATCAAACACCTCCTTGCTAGTAGATTAACCAGATAGATAGATATATATATATATATATATATATATATATGGTTTTTGGGGAGAAAGTGATACACATGTTATCAATTTAAATGTCATAATCACTCTTCTCTGACACGTACCAAGTGAAAGGTTTTTGAAAGAACAAACAAAGAAAGAACGTTTCGTTCTATCATAATCTCCACCATTCGCATACTGTCTTGTAGTATTCTATCTACAAAACTGTTTACTATCTTAATCTATCATACTGTTCCGATTTGTATACTTTTGTACTAGTATTGGGTTGCTTATGTAGGGAAAGTACTGAAAGTAAATTTCAATTGATAAGAGATGTAAATTAAATTTGATGAAATATGATGCTATTCTTGAAACTTCGAATATAAATTGCACTCTGAAAAAATTGTCGATGTCTCTTGATGAAAACATTGCAGAATTTAACAGACATACATTTTAATTTTTTTAATAATTTAATTTTGAGTAAATAATGATGAAATTTTTCATAATCAGGCTGTACGAGTAGTCTATTAATTTTCCTTGTTATAGCAAATTTTACATTTTTAATCGCATATTCGAGAAACTTGCTTCTACAAAAAGTACATATTATACTACAATTTAAAAAGAAGTTAAGATTTATGAAAACGACTAAATCTGTAAACACTTGCTTCTAAACCAAGCAATCAGAATAATCTGAGTTATTATATGTTCGAAACTATATTAGGTAGTATATTTTTAAAATCATATTGCCCAAAAATGTTGGAAATGAGATTAAAATATACTCTTTTGGCTAACATTCACATGTCATTATATTACCAAATATAAGATATGCATAATACATCCTGGATATATTAAGCAAATTCTTTTTAATTATTGATGACTTTTCCATTACTATAGCTATCATTAATGTAGTTTAATATTGTTCTCATATACTTGGTGATGTACGAATCTTCAATACATACAATCAAGTCCGGTGATCTCTATTTAGACAATAAATACTGCCTCAAATTAAAATTTCATATTGTTAATTCCTCTTTGTTACCACAAATACACTTTATGAATCTTATCTAGATACTCATATGTGCAAATTGTTCAACCAATGTCTTATATATATATATATATATATATATTCATGTATAAAAGTATTGCTATGAATTTTATAGTTGTTACTATTTTTTTGCACAAGATTTAAATACTCTGAATGTAGGATTATCACATTTGCAGTTGTACTTTACACATGGATGTATATAATCAAAATAATATTTGAAATTTGATGCTACTACTTGTAACTAATATGAAATCAATCAGTTTGAAGTTTCTCATATTGCAATATACATAGTATTAAATTTTGTTATAATGTTCAGAACTACACTGAATAAACTTTTACATTAAGTAACATCATATATATCATATTAAAAATGTAGGATCCATAATGGATATAAATGCATACATATTCCACTAATTCATTCTATCAAATTTTTTTTAAAATTAAACATCATTTCAAAAAGTTTTTTATAAAAATTAAACATATATTTTTATATTAACTTGCTTCAATTCAATTTTAATGAAAAATAATAATTATTCAATATTTGATTTAATAAATTTTCAAAATATTAGAATTTTGAAGTGATAAGTTTATATATTTTATTCATCTTATGAAAACATAAAATTGCTTAAATTGTATGAATATTATTTAAATTTAAATTTTTCCATTTGTCAACACTTTATTTTTCATAAAAAATTGATGAAATAAAATCTTCTTAGTTAATACAAATCTATATGAGCAATGTGTATGATTTTGCATTCATACTATCATGTGAATTCACTCTTTTCACGTGATGTGTATTATATTTGGTGGTTAAAATGTGCCCATTGTTCGACGTTATCTTCTTTGCTTTAATTCAATGCTCTAGTTAGATTGTTGATAACAGAACGTTCAAACTAGGATTCTACTCTTTCATATTTTATGTTTTTTCTTGGTCAAGGATTTGAGCTCCATGATTTTCATTTTGTTTTGTGCAATAATGACTTTTGAGATCACTATTATTGAGTTGTTTTTTCACTCATATCCATCATGTATGGAAATTTCATTTTAGATGATGATGCTATTAGCAATGTGGTCACAATAGTTAATGAAATGATGACACAAAATTGCACCAATTAGTAACTTTCCTTTAATCATTAGAATTGATGATACTATTGTATCTCAGTAAATAAATGATTCCAGTTTTCTTGAGTTATATTACTTTGAAGTAATAATTAATTATGTCAAGAACTTAGAATTCAACATGCGCTCATGATATCAAGACTCTTTGAATATTGTATTCCATCACATTTTGTTCCTACTAGTCTACACGAGAGTTTAACTCGTTTTAGAGTCATGGACAATTTGATTAACAATGCAAAAAATGTTGGTATAAAAATCTTAAAGAGGTTTAGTGAGCCTCATGCTTGTTGGTCATATTCAAAGAATAGATTTGAGTCTAAGAGTGATATATAGGTCTCATCTGGTTGACAAGTTTTTTTACTTGAGGAAAATTATTCATAATGTGTAGTCACCTTACAAAGCTCACGAACATTACTTACCTCCTAGAATAAGCTAATGTGATTTTTCCTCACAAGGTTGTAATTCATTACACAATGAGAATCCTTTCAAAAGATTACAATATGATACGTCACATGTTGATGGAAAATACAATTTGAACATGTTTTGATGAGATGTAATCCATACAACTCGTTGAAAAAATTATAATAGACATAGTCAATGAAGATTGAACTTGCGAAGCTTTTGCAGTTCATTGAGATTGCAATCATTCATGAGATGGTAGTCATACAGCTCATTGAAAAAATTATAATAGGTCTAATTAATGAAGATTGGATAAGCGAATCTCTTGCAATTCATAAATACCTCAATCTTAGAGTATCGTTTTGTAATTGACTAAATAATAAAGTTAGTTTCACGAGTCACTCAAACAACAACATTGTAGAGACAATTTTCAGGTACATAATTATCACTATGGTTCCACATTTGGACCTTTAGATCAGTCTAAACAACTAAAACATAGCAGATCCAGTTTCTACTAGCCAACATATAAACCTCGCGTGACCTTACGACCTCGACCAAAGATCGTTTGTCACTTTGTATGTAAGGTCACCTTGACAACAAATGCAAGATAAACTCCACGACATGGAGCATTGTACATATGAAAAACGCCGATGTCTTCGCAATGATGACAATCATATTCATGCAGTTGATGTGAAATTTGTGAAAAGTTATATTAAATTTGCCTAGTAGTATATCAACCTCGGCGATTCATAAATGTCAAAACCTACTTCCTCAAGATCAATGATCATGAAGAAACAACTACCTCAGTGATCAGCCAAAGTCTTACAATTGAATTGAAAATGCCTCAAGAGGCATCGCTCACCGTCTCACATCGACACTTGGACTTTAGTGCAACTTATCATATTACGAGTATTCAATCCATGTTCTGCACAATACAACACCAACATTGCACTAAAGTTACATTGGCAGGTGTACACTGCCATGGATTGATGTAACTTCACATCCACTCCAAGAACGTTTTAGCCATGGGCACAACCATAATGTTCTTTGTGTTGAAACTATTCAAGTTGAACTTTCTAACAATAAAGTTGAAACCGTGAAGCAACTTTTATATTTTCCGAATATATGGATAGTATTCTTTCAGTTGGACTCATTGCAATTAACAATCATAGCCTTGAATTTCTTAATGAAGTATGTTTTATCCGCAACATATTCACTCGTGAGTCATAGCTTATGCATATCGGGATTATCGTCAAGATTTATATAAATTACAAGGAAACATCATCAAAATGTGAAAGATAGTTGCCGATCAATATTTAACTTTGGCATAAAAGATTTGGTCATATGAATCATGATGGTCTACATTGAATGATCGTCTCACACGCTATTCATGAACATATCAATTTCAATCATGACAGTCTTCATCGAATGATTACCTCACACTCACACACTATTCATGGATATTACGACCTTCATGTTTTTGACATATCATGTACAAGTTGTTTTCAAGTAAAGCATGCTAGGACACGAATTTCAAATAAGTACACTACTAGCGCTTCTACATCATTGAAACTGATTCATTCAAATTTTTGTGAATTATTTTGTATCTAGTCGTTATGAGATGCATGATATTTTATTACTTTTATTGATGGCTATTGAAGGTTTTTTTTGGATTTCATTAATATCTTGCAAGAACAAGCTCATTGACATGTTCATTGCGCAAAAACAAGGTTCTTGATATGTTCAAGCAGTTTCACTACGTAATTGAAGCTCAATACAAACAGCCTGTTGTTATGTTGCGCACAGACAATGGTGTCGAGTTTACTTTTTGGAAGTTTGAAACGTATAGGTGTGATCATGACATCAAAATGTCAAGAGTTATATTCTGTTATAAGAAAGCCATAAGAGAGTAATGATAAAGATAGTTTGAACAATGGAAGTCTTTTGTTTCTAACCTCCATCAAAATGCGTATCTTAGTTATGAAATCTATCCAATCACTTTTGACCTAAAACATTATGTGTTTATTGCTAAATTTTCAACGTTTATAGCTTCAAACATACGTTGAGATTATATTCACGAGCTAATGCCTATCATAAAATCATCTTTCTCTTATCTTCAAGTTTTTTTTGGAAGTACAGTCCTTGTTCACCTACATCATTCATGCCAAGAAAAGCTCAATTCACATTCAATTGAATGAATCTTACTCAACTTTTACAATCGTCCAAATGACTACTGTTGCTATGAGCATAAGATTTATAAAGTTATTGATACTTGTGACGAAGAAATCTTTGAATCTTCACAACTGGAGTTACCGGTCATTGAAGACTCAAACTCCTTACTTCTTTACTCAATTACAACATCAACTAGTCACACTTCAGCCTAGACTCATCAACTACCTACAATGGCACTACTACAATTCCAAGATACTCACAAATTTGCACCTTCACAACATGAACAAAATAGCCAAAGCAGCGATAATCTTTCCAAAAATTTTAATTGTGGTCCTGTTGATTTTACAACATCACAAATAATAATTTATCAACGTTGTGAAACTTTGGTCCCACAACTCCACCTACCACAACAAGTTCATGATCTTGACAATGCTTTGCCGCCACTGTGATACATGTGATCTCCGCTACAATCTTGCAACAATCTTCATTGAAAATATACTAAATTGTTTGATCTCATGTTTAGCATCATCGTCACTATTCTCAAACAAGTGATGATCCATCGTTCCTTTTTACTCTACCTGACAATCCAAATGATCTCGTCAAGTATTTCGACATCTCAACGTCTACATTTCTATTGTCAACGTAGATATCAAGATTGGTCAACTTTTTGACGATGGCAATAACTTGCAATTACATCATGTTTGCAACACAAACTTGATTGCAGCCATGAAAGTAGAATACTCATTGATTCTCTGCAGTGACATTCAAAATTTCATGCTTTTCCTCGCAAGCATGCAATCATTTATTTGTTGAATCTACAAGCTCAAATCTAGCTCATCCGCTCAACCTTCGTGACATAAGACAAAACTAATCATTTGTGGATTTCGATAGCAACACGATATTGATTACAAAGAAACTTTTGGCCATAATGTACGCTGGAACACAATCCACATTACTTTTGCATCTGTTGTCCATCAAAAGTAATCTATATGTCATCTTGATGTCCAACTCCTTTTACTCAATAGGTATAATCTAAGAGAATTTCTACATGCAACAACCTCTTGATTTCATCTCTTCAAGACGCGAATACAATGTTTGCAAATTGAAACGAGGTCTTTATGATCTACGTTAGAAATTGATAGCATGATATCAATACACCGATGTTGCAATCCAAAATTGAGTACTTCAAGCTAATTCAAATATATATCTTTCACAAAAACAAGATGACATACTCTTGTTAATCTTGTACGTGAGCAACCTTCATCTCACAAGAAATCATCTACAATTCATTCATGATCTTTCTATCACGCTCATGGAGAAATTTGTTATAATCAATCTAGATACAATATCTAAGTACTTAGATGTCCATTTTGTATACACTTCGTGAGAATTATTGCATCAAACTTCGTATGCATTATCCATATTAGCTAGAGAATTCAACTGTTTAAGCTTCATTCCACTTAATGAAGTACTCCAGCTTTGACAAGTAACTTACACATCTCTTGTTGATGTCATCGGATACAAGCGGCTTGTATCCAAACTGATGTATCTCAAACACACCAAATTGAACATTGACTATGTCACCAATCTAGCCAGTCGTTATATGCACGAGGCTTAAGAGCTCCAATTGAGCATCGTTAAGGACATACTCCGCTACAATAAATGTTAAACATTTTAACATTTTCTATGTCAATGGGGAGGAAATAAAGCTAAAGAGTTACTTTGACGCCTACTATGCAGCGGATTTAGACAAACTCATTTTCACAAGTGCTTATATCCTCATGTTTGGTTCATCACCCGTGTCTTGTTATTCCATCAAATAAAGTTCAACGTCTCAATCTAATTGCGAATCTAAATATCAAGCTGTTAGTCTATGTGCTAAGGTAGCTATTTGGATTTGGAGACTAATGAATGAACTGGAATGCTCTTTTAGCAATCATATTCAAATTGGAGTGAACAATTAAAGCATCATAAAACTTGCGACAATCCATTGTTTCACAATATGATGAAGCATTTCAAAGTTGACAAACACTTCTATGGCCCAAAAATTCTAGTGGACAATATCTTTGTTGAGTATATATCTAGTACAGAGCGACGGACTGACATGCTTACAAAAGCATTAGGAAGAAGCAAGTTTGTGAGATTGGAGATATTGATTAAACTTCAGAATTACATGAGAGTTATCTGATTCCACATTTTAATGAATTCAGTTGAGTAAGTCACAGAAGATAATCCACAAAGCTTTGAACTGTCTAGTATAAGTACACCTTCATCAGCAAGTCCATTAGTGTTCACAAGTTGCATGACAATATCAAGAAGAAATCCAATCACTTGATTTTTTTCAACTTTTTTTTGAAGAAAATCACGTTTGTAATTCATGATGTACAAACTTATCATTCGAGTAAGAGGTATTATTGGACATTATAGTCTCTGCTTAAATTTACTGTTATAATTAAACTTCATGGGAAGCTTCTTTGTGTAGTTAGAAGTAGACATCAAGAACTTATTGGTTTCTACTATATATGTTTCGTCTTTCATTCAACTTCTCAAACGTTTTTACTTCCACACAATGAACTATGTGCATGCTTTAGCTTTTTCAACCCCTATTATTTCAAACATTTCAAAAATCTCTCCATAATGTAAGATTGCATGTTTACATAAAGACATTAGCCTCGTTATAGTCAAAGTAGGTACAATGAAGTTTAAATTTTCAATATATTTGACAATAAAGAATTAATGTTAATATGATTTGAATCATTATTTCCAATACATTATGATGAAATTTTTGAATTAGATCGAAGTAAATGTATGTACATTATTAAATTGATTATAAAATGAATGTTAAATTATCAAAATTTATGTTTAAAAGATGATATAAGTTCTTCTTTCAAACGCTTCAAATATGTCTATCCCATTCTTCACATGAAGATTTTGTGGTGTGTTAAACAACCTACGCGGTTTTGACTGATGAATGTGTGTAAAGTTTCAAGAGTTGAATCAGAAACAGGGAATTCTATCTTAGATACAAAGATTTAAGTGTTCAATGTATCATTTGAGAGAGATTTGTTTGTTGGAGCAAAGATGTAATGATATCGAGACAAATGTAGAAAACTTTATTAATTAGGGAGAAGGCACATTCATAGATCAAATTGTGATCGATACATACAAGACAGTACGGGAAGATAACCTAAGAATTTGGGCATACCTCCAAAGCTCGCCTTGAAGTTATTCAGTTCGCTTGCTAAGTTCTGATGTCAGATATGGTAGCATCCCGCGCTTCGAGCTCAGCGTTCTCAAGTGCATAATTTTTAGTATGGAAAGGTCAATATAAGTACGAAAAATTATTAGTACCTGATGGAGTGACAGTCGAGCTCCATAAGCTTCCCGTGGTGGCACCATCACGCGTGGTTTGTAGAAATCAAATATCCACACGATGTCTCAATAATAAAGCTCGAACTTGCAGTTCGTATAATGTGGTGTAATGGTAGGAGATGTGAACTCAGTGAAGGATCCACGTGGATAGCAAAAATAGGAGAGGGAGATCCCATCCCGAAACCAGGGGCCAGACCCGGAACTCAGTCACCAAAGACACTTGGGATATGTTTTCGAAGATGACATGATTTATCATCTGAAGCAAGTAGTGCAAGCGTTTCAGTCCTCAGCGTAAATAAGAATTGAAGCAGTCACACTCAAGCAGCTGCCGAATAACGCAGTTCGAACGTAAGGAATAAGGAATGGCAAGCTTTGCCGTCGACGTGGTTACGAACCGCAACTGCGCAAGCGTTGGCCGTCGAACTGGAAAATAGTCGTGCAAGGAGGAGCAGCGGGAGAGATGGGGACGGATCATGAAAGGCGTTCAGAAAGAGAGAACACGTGATCGTATATAGCAGTGAATAGCCGGGGGGGACGGCCTTCCTTCTTCTTCTTCTTCTTGGCGGCCTTCAAGGCGATGGTTTCCCTCGCTCGCCAATGGAAAGAGACCGGGCGGGCGCTAGAACCCGACATTCAAATTTAAGGTACGCACGGGTTGGGCTCCTACCCTAAGCAGAGGAGAGGGAAGAAGAATTGGCTCCCGGGGGCGAGGCAGACAAGACAGTTCGAGGGCCTAAAATTGGAGGCCCGGAAGAAGACTAAGGTTAAGGTATAGTGTTTCCCGACGGGAGGCTAGCACAACGGCCCCGCCATCGGATTTTCCCTGTCTCGTCTCGCTCCGTGTCCGGGGGATGTTCTGGGCATCTCATCTAACGAACGAAATGCCGAAACCGGGAAGAGAAAGTGAAGAGGAATAGCTGCAGCTTTTGCGATGGTCGCCGGTGTCGCGTGTTCCTGCCAGCCTTGAGCATTCTTTCGCCGAGGGAACGGCTGATCTGGGCTCTGTCCTGTCGGTTGCCGCCGTGTTTTTTTCTCAGTGCATTGCATTTTGTCACTCGTCGGCTCTTCCTTCCTCGGTGCCTCCTGTTTGCTCGTCCTCCCTTCTCTCTCTCTCTCTCGTTCTCGTTCGTCGGAGAATTGGTGTTTCCGTGGCTCTGGTCTCGGCTTTGTACTCCGTCTTTTCTCCTCTCCTCTCCGGCGGTAGTTTTTTGTTATGTTCCTGGAAGATTGGCGGCGGGCTATAGTGTTGCCTATACTGTACAAATTATTTGGTTGCGAATGAGCGAGAGTTCATGCTCGTCTCTTGTGATGTGCGGGCACAATGATTAACTCCTAGTCGCGCGGCTCCCAGGTATAAACAACGAACCTCGCATTGTGAAGGTTTATACGCATTTCCATGCTGCACCTCGTCAAATTTTGCTACTTCGGTGTGGATTCTATCTCAATGTGCATCTTTGCCCGCGAGTGTTTGCTTGCCGACCGTTTCAAAGTGCACGCCAAATGAGGCAGAAAGGCGGGAGTCTACTTCCGAATAGGTAGGAGTTGATACCGAATCAGGGTTCGAAGTCCATGAACTCTATGTAGGGAGTTGTTATCTCTGAATCCCACCGTACATCCAAGAGGGAGACCTACGCATGGATTTCGTCTCACCCAATGCCAACCGCATCGAAGTTTGTTTTCTTGTAATCGGTCAGTTTCGGCAAAGCGAAATTGTTCAAAAACCGATTGTAGACAGGAAGCGGTCGTATTATGTGAACCCGTATCGTAATTGCGCATCGCTTGATGCACACACCTCAAGGCATTATTCCATGTGATACATTGATGTTACATATATGAGCCCTTCCCGATTACCGTTCTGGGTTCTTCTCAGTATAGGACAAGCTTGGACATATAGACTCTGGTGTCGTATACACTGCATCTTTCTCCAAGTAAAGTGAGTTTGGCAGTTTAGTGCAAATCAATGTTTGGAGTTTCTTATCCAGGTTTAACTAGGGTTTCTACATTTAAAACTCCGTGCATGGGCTTTCTTTCTGCATTTTTTCTTTTGGCTCATGGTTTGCATACACATTATATCTGACGACATCAATTTCGTTGTCATGTTGCTTTGTTGCCCAGTTTTGTAGGTCCTCTTCAATTTCTCCGTCAACTCTAGGCTGCGAAGGTTGGCTAGCAGAAGCTTTTGAAACCTTTCCATCCTTCGATCTGAACGTGATCCAAAATGTGGCTTTACCAGTTGCAGGATTGGGTGTAAATAAACAACGCACTTTTTGCACCATGATGATCCTTTCTACTGGGAGTTGTGCTGCTTGGGTTTCCTCTGCAAGGGTTTTGTTTATGGACTTTATTATGGTTGATTGACGCCACGATTGTTCTTTAAGTTCAGGTCATTATCATGGGAGGAGGGAGGAGAGAACGGGAATGTAAGCGGTGCAGATTGTAGGGGTTTCTTATTCGTGCTTGCGTGTTGTGACATGCGTGTGGCTTGCAGCTCAGAGGTTTTAGGGTACTTGGTGGCCAGCATGGCGGGCATAGGAGGGCTTGTGGGAGGAAGTGCTCTCGATGATGAATTGTGAGTGTTGTGTACGGGTGATGTGCATTATCATGGGATATTCAAAGACGGGCATTCTGATCCGTTGGTAAACCGTATGAGCGATAGGCTGGACCATCGACGGACCTAAGTCCCGCCTTCATAATATAAATTGTTCGTAAATTTCGATAAGATAGAGATGAACTTATAACAGAACGTTACAATATACATACTTGCGAAAGGTCTTCAAATCTTCTGCAACTCTTTTAAGTACGGTGAACTTCTTCTATACTGGTGTGAGCTCAGCCGCGTGATACTTGGTGCTTTCAGGAAACGTAGCAATGTCGTCCGGCTTCGAGGTCTTCCGTTCAGTGCGTCGGAGACGGATATTGCAGAGTTTTTTAAAGGACTTGAAATGGGACCCGATGGGGTTGTCATTTGCGTCAATTTTCAAGGTTATATTTTTTTCCATTAAACCTCATCGAGGGTAAACGTCTTGAAATTTCGTTTTTCTTCTAAGGTAGATATGGAATGATTTTCCGACATTGCGTTGTTCCTTCGTTAATATGCTTCTTTGATTGCTTACAGGACGATCAACGGGTCAGGCCTACGTGCAGTTCGCTAGTGCAGAGCTTGCAAACAAGGCACTGGAACGCAACAGGTGAGATGATTACTCCAGTGTCTTTTGCCTAGTGGAATGTCTGTTCCTTTTATTGCGGGAGTACATGAACTAGTTGTGCGGTGATACATGCTCTATGTACCCATAATCTTTTCAACGGTCATTGAATCGTTTCGCAAGTCTACTGTACAGATATTAGCCTGCTTTTTTGCATAAGTGAATCTGAGGTACTTGTTTACTCTATCATTCATTCGTATGTTCTTGTTCAGGCAGCATATTGGTAGTCGTTACATCGAAGTATTTAAAGGGCACCCAGCAGATATGCAAGTAAGATTACAGTATGTATTTGTGATAGTATTGAGTTTCCCGTCAGTTGAATTGGATTAGGATGGAGAGGTTTAAGAGTTGGATGAGCTTAATTCCTGTGTGCTCTCGTGTCCCTGGGACCAAAGTTGTGGCTGGAGAGGCCGAATCAGCAAAGAGAGTGTAATGCCGATGGATGCTTATTATGATCATCTTCTGCACGTTTTACGTGATAGCTATATTCTCCAGTCTTGTTCAGTGTGCATGTGCCGTTTGTGTTACAGGGTGCTCTGCGGATGGTTGGTCGAGGAAGTGGTACAGTAAATGGTGGTGGGGGTATACTAAATACTGGTATCCCTGGGATGTCTGGAAATCCGGACATGCGGTACACCGGGGTAGTGCGGATGAGAGGGATGCCTTACAGGTAGATTTGAGATCTAAAACGCTCGTCATTTAGATACCATATCAATTGTTTGATATTGTGACATCTTAGAACTCGAAGCAGCTTATCTTTACGTGACATGTATGTGCTAATTTGCAGCGTACTTTTGTTGGGTGAACAGCTGCACATCTGCAGATATAACTGCCTTTTTCAAGGGGATGCAGGTTGTTCCTGACGGTATTTTCCTTTGCACTCACGCGGATGGTCGCCCCACTGGCGAGGTCTGAAACTTTCCTCTCCCTAGTTTTGTTCCTTCATGTTTATTGTTGAAATCAGCGTAATTTACACTTGTCAATATCTTTTAGGTTTTTCTCTTTCTACATACTCTCTACTCCAAGTCTCGTTTACCTTCAAAGTGTATATGTATTCTATTCCTCTTCCTGGTCAAGTTTTTATCGCGCATTTATCTCGAAATTCGTGCAATACTGCAACATTATCAGCGTCCAATTTCAGGTTACAAAGTTTACTAAATACTATCACACATAGATTGACAATGACTGGAGTACAAGTCAAGCTTTGAGTCTTTGATTCAATGAAGCTGATGTTGCGAGTAATGATTTCGTGGGTGGCAAGTGTGGCCAGTTCCATGGGCTCCGATTTGCCCATTATTCCTCTTGGAAACTGACCGGCAAGGTCTATATCGGCTGTGTAATTTTTGGATTTATGGAACACTGTAAGCGCTTGTAGCCCAAGCTATTTTTATTCATCAAACCCATGTATTTACGATTTCCATTTCTTTGGCAATACAGGCATTTGTGGAGTTTATGAATGAGGAAACAGCAGCACGGGCCATGCAGCTTCATCGTGAACCTATGGGAACAGTAAGTCATCACAACACTTATCAATCTTGGTCAGCTAAGATATTCACGAGCTTTAAAAAGCAATGCCTGTATGATTAAGTCTATGTGACATTTGTTCCTCTTTTCAATATTCTTCACTCCTGTACTTAAAGAGTCACTTCTGGTTTTTGTTCCAACAGCGATATGTGGAACTTTTTCGAAGCACCAAAGGGGAGATGATGACCGCCGTACAACAACGCATGTATGGAATGTTTTCTGGGGTTGGGGGCTTTTCTCAATTTGGCGCTGTAAGTCAGGTCAGTCAAGCAGATACATATACCTTTCTCTACTATTTTCGTCCCTCAAAATTTGGATTGTAAATACCCAACATTGATTGTGATACTGAGAGGTAATCGGTCTGGCGCTGGAAGATATGTTTCTCTAAAGACTGGCAGTTTGTGTGGGATTGTTTGTTCAGATCCCAGGAATGATGGGAGCATTTGGAGTGCAGGGTCTGACTGGTATGAACGTAGCAGCCATGCAAGCAGCCGGACTGGGGGGTATGACTGGTTTGCAAACGATAGGGGATACATCGGAACATGTTTGTATCAAAATGCGGGGACTTCCTTATAATGCCGGACAAAGAGAAATTATGGATTTTTTTGAGGGCTATAATATATTACCAAATGGAATACATATTGTGATGGGGGCAACCGAACGTCCAACAGGAGAGGCCTTTGTAGAATTCATCTCTCCTGAGGAGACTCAGCGGGCCATGGAGCGTCACCGGCAAAATATTGGATCTCGTTATATTGAGCTGTTTAGAGCGACAAAAAGGTATTAGACTTTTATTAGGACGATTTGGCTTTCTTTTCAGAATCAATGCGTGTTGTTTTATGCAAGTATGTGGACGTGGGGATTGAGTGTCAACTGTTTCATACAGTGAAATGATGTTGGCGATGGGAGGATTATCTAGTTTTGGAATGGCACAAGCTTTGGATCCCAGCGTTCAACTTTTGCTCTTACAACAGCAGGTTTTTATCCTTCGCTTTACTGTTGAGATTTGATTTAATAGTGCTTCTGTAGTACGGTGTAGTATTGAGATTTGGTTCAATAATGCTCCTGTAGTGCGCTGTAATGTTGAGATTTGATTTAATAGTGCTTATGCAGTACGTGAAGTGCTTAAGCTGAATATTCATGTGCCCAGTATTTGTCACAGTGCTTCATTCCAAATCATCCAGTAATATTTGGTCATTAACTTCTCGGTAGTGGCTATTTTCAACTCAGATCAATACATGTCTGTAAGAAAATGTTCATGTTTTTTACGTGTGAACAAAACTTTGATAATTCAAATGGATAGGTGCAAGCAGCAGCAGGGGCCTTCGGTTTAATGGGCACACAAGGAGCGGGAGCATGGACAGATATGCAACAGGCCGCGGCGGCGGCAGCTTCCTTCTATCAAAGGCAAGCAGGTTTGACAGGATCAACAGGGACCGTGGCATTTGACCCTTCATCATCATCATCCAAGATCCGCGGCCTGCCTTACAGGACGTCGGTAAGATATCTGCAGAAGTATAAACGCAACCGCTTGATGTTGAATTTACTAGGAAATAGTGGAAAGGTTTTCAACGTTCAGGTCATTTCGAAAAGCTTGGAAGATACTTAATGATAGTTAAGAATGTCTGCACTCTCTTGTTGTTTCTTTAGTTGGTCTTTCTCACCCCTCTCGTCTCTATGTCCAGTCTTCTCACTCTTTTTTCAATCGTTCCCGCTGTTGTACTGTTTATATGCTATGATTGAGTTGGCATCGTGAGTAATGCTAACCTGTAAAATACAGTATTTGTTCGTATGTGGAGCTCCTGTATTTGGCTCTCGAATGTAGAATGTCAAAGCAAGTGGTAATTATCTGTGAATCCTCAGCGGGCTGTGACGTACATCTCTCCTCTTGATAGCTTTGTTTGATCTGTGCAGACGTGACTTCGCAAGGTTAGCAGGATCAGACGGGATTTCTTGCTGTTTATGTTAGAAACTGGGAATCCAGTTCCCAACGAACTACCCTTTACATCAATCCGCTTAAGACCACGACAAGTGTGCTACTTTGTGTCAAAAATAGTAGTAGAAAGCTGTAGATTAAAGCGCAGGTGCACCGGTGAGAGTGCTGACGATAAATCGACTTAGAGAGAGGCGACTTAGTTTTTGGATGACTGGCTGGGATCAGAGTATATATTAACGTTGTTTCTTGTCGTCAAGTATGTCATTGGCACATGATGCTCGTTCTGGAGAGCCCAGTGTCTTGGGGGTTATACCGAGCTTGTTCTACTCAGCAGAATGGAGGATTCTCACATCTTTTGTAAATGGAGAACACGACACGATGTTTGGAGAAAGCGCCCCATCGGTGGAAAGGAGGCGTACCTGGCTCTGCGGTGGAAGTCGAAGCCAGTAACGTCTTTTTCCTGTACTCTTTCACTCGAAAGTCATCGTCACAGGAGAGATGTCTTCCTCTGTTGAACACCAAGATTCTGAGCCAAGTTTTACTCTCATCCCTCCACTGTATGAAATAAAGAAACTTACTTTGTAACGTCGAATGTAAACGTGTCTTTTAAGAGCTGTTTCTTGTACATGCCCTCCCAGGGAACCAGGTTATCCGCAGTTTTTGTAGATGTCCATCAGCGCCAGCTGCTCTTTTACAAACACGCACCTTGTGCCTTGTATGCCGGGAAGTTTTGTTTTTTGCGCCACTCTCAACACCTCATGGAGTGTGTTTGTTCGGGTACTCTGGACCTCGATACAATTGAAGTAAAAGTTACATTAGTTATGTGCCCCCTCGTTGATGAGCTTTCGCAGCTTTGTGCATGCGTCCCGAGTGTTCTCAGTAGAGATCTCCTGCCGTGTACAATGCTTGATCGCCGCTTGTTAGTGACTTGAGTGCTGCAAAAATACGAAGTGGGTTCTGTCTTCATATCATGTCTGCTGTCCTTGACGCTTATGCCATTGTCCGCTGGTCATGAAAGTGTTCTTATTTCATCCCTTTTGAACCATAGATTCTGTGGAAATTTAGCATCTATCCCCATGTCTCCAAGTGGATCGCGGCCCAGTAGATGCGGGTCGTCGTGTTCATCGTTTGCCAATGGAGAAGCCTTAAAGCTTGTATCTCAATACGAAGAGCACACGTTGTTCTGTTGTATAAGGGAGGCGACAGTGAACTTCAAAACACTGTCGATGCTTGGCGCCGTGGCCTTCGAAACGTGCAAGTACTGAACTCTCAAAGCAGCTTATTCGCCACCTGATCGGATTTTGGTATAACAGTCGCTGTCCAGCTCAGCAGACGTGCCAGCCTGTGGAATACTAAAGCCGTATCCCAAGCTGCGGATGTCTTAAAAGCCGTCATTCCGGCCGAAGTTCAGAAACCACTCGAGCCTTGCCATTACCACTCTCTCCATCACCTGACACAGCATGAAAGACTTCTTCCAGCCTTTGGGCACCTCCCTTGCGAGAATTGGATCGACAGTAGACAGGCTCCAAGGAGAACTGGTCGAAAGCCATGGTCCAAACTAAAATTAAAGCCAACGTGCAGGCAGATTCCCACGAACAGTGACATGTTGTAATCATGGCCGAACTGTTGGTATCGCAGCAATTTGTCGTCCAATTTTAAAGACTATAGAACGTAAGGAATCCAAATGGTAGGAGCTACGCTAGGCCTATGGGCTAGACGAGCATGCAACGAGGGAGAAGTGAATTTGGCAGACCACCAGGGCGAGGGCGAAGAGGAAATTACCACAGCGTGTCGTTCTCATCCCCACCCCCTCCTGGTGTCGAGAAATTCAAGACCGCCAGGCGCAGCTCGATCGAACATGGTCGCCGCAAGATGAGGTCCGCGACTCCACACTCTGCGCCGCGACGCGACGCGACATGGACACCTCCGCCGCCACCTGCATCTGCAACTCCCTCTCCAGATGATCTTGCACGTTAGGCCTGGCGATGGATCGCAGCCGCACATCTCTCAGCGTCAGGGCTCGGATTCTTAAAGGGGCTGCTGCGTCGAAACGTGCTGCCTCAGCAGAGGCGCACAAGCATGCGCTGAGCAATAATTCTGGTGAGCTCTGTAGACACGAACGCAGCCTTGACTGCTCCTGATCTGCCTCAATCCGTGGCCTTCAGAATCAGCACACACACTCACTCACTCTCACAAGGAACACTATGCCCGTGGCTTTTTATGCGTCTCTCTCTGCACCAAGCATTTCTCGGCATAAACTATTGAGCGAGTGAGTGTCTGTCTGGTCTTCCTGCCCTCTTCAGCTTCTTCATGTGAGTATTCTCTCATGCATGCGAGCGGGCTGATCTTGCAGCCCTCTATTCAGACAGGAATAAGAATTATCCTGGACTTCATCTGCTTGAGTGTCGGACGGTCTTGTCCTATGACTATTCTGATCTATATCTGACTTCCACTTGCTCCTCAAACTCAATGGATTCATTTTTCTCCGATATGTCTACGACGAGCATTTCTTCTTATTATTGAAACGTGAAGTCTGCCACATGCTTATTACCTCTACAGTATAGTATCTTATTGATTAGTGCAAACGTACCCGTCTTAAGATGTTTATCGAATGGCTAGAGTATTTATGGGAAGAATTTTTATTCATGCAATACTCTTACAAAAAACAGGACATTTGAGTAAATGTACTTAGTTAAGAATATAAGATTCTCACAACTCGGCAATGGCGTCTGCACACACCTTTAAATGTGACTGCCTGTGTAGGTTAGGCACACGTGCAAGGGGTTTGACACACGGATCTTCATTGGCTGACAGTTCTAGGGTGCAGCATTTCCGATTCCGAATGTGAACAAATCGAGGAAACTTGTGAAACAATATGAGCAAATTGGCTTGTGTAAGAAAAGTATGCGTAAGTGGCCACATCTCCAAATACATTCTAACAGTTTGCAGGCTCCACGATCCGCTCTTGACTATTCCCGTGATGCCAGTCCGATATGTTGTGGCATTAGCTTATAAAGTATGTTATCATTATGACCCTTCCTTTATATATCAGTAACTAATCATTGCAGGTCAACATGTATTGCCGTGTGACGAGATAACTAACAACAAAGATCTCAATGCACTTACTCTTAACACAGCTTTCATTCACCAAATTCAGTTTGACATGGACCTTGTCCATAATCGAAAGAGCATCTGCATGATGACGTGTATGTCAGATCATGAATACAATACAGAATATTTATACCATGCTACAAAATCAGGCTCTGATTCATGTGAAGTCAGATGACTGGGCTTCGAAACAGGACTACATGGTTTCTATTACAAATATTGAATCGACTGCATGCAGTTCGCTACACAATAAAGCAAACTTCTTAGGATAGCGCTGAGATATAAAACTTCTGTTAGTAAATTTTTTATTTTTCTTGGGGAAAAAAATTCTAGAATCTTTTATGGACAAAAACGGACGAGAGCACATAAATGTGAATCTTTCCACCGATTCATCCAACGTCTTGGTCAGTATCAAAAAGCAAGAGCATTTACGGGTTCCAAAAGTTGCACTGAGATCCTGAAGCAGAGGACTTCTCATTGATTTGAGTCTGAATAGCAGTTGTTCTAGGATATCAGTTCGAAGTGAAAGGAACGTAGCGAAGAGGGCAAGAGAAAGATATGCTTACTCAAACATTGCTTCAGTTTTCCACAAACTTTCAAGCTGAGAATGTCTTTTGCAAGTTTTAACGTGATCGAGTGAAAGATTAGACTCATGACTGACTAAGCTGACAGCTGGAACCGATGTAGTCATCTGCGAGAATTAAGATAACCTTAAGGAATGTCAAACTGATCAAAATGTGATTTACTGCTAAACTACTTACTTGGTTGAATGATTTAGAGTAAGCAAGAGGAGGGAGCATAAAGGTATGGACCCCATGGCAGGGCCCATCTACGAAGCTGCACTCATAGCATTAGCTACTAAACGTTCGTAATTCCGGCAAAATTAAAAGTACACAGCTTTCCGATTATTTCAGCATTCCGGATCAGTCACTTGCATCCGAAGATAGTTGTTTATTCGCGGCATCCTTTTCGCTGCACCGGCTGAGTCAATGTCTTGGAGCATCAGCTGACTGACATGAAGATATTGAGCTCCTTGCTTTTGGACTTTTACTTGTTCCTCTCGAACAAACATATCTGATCTGCAGGAGATCTATCGATATTGAGGAACACTTTCTGGAGTACACTGAGTAGCGTCGCACAAATCTTACGAGCCATGGGATTGAGTGGATCGGACACTCACAATCAGCACGGAAGAACGATTTAATTATATAGATGAGCAAGGTTCTGGCCCCGCGAAGGTTCTTGCTCGCTGTCAAGAGCGAGGAGAATCGCAATGAATGATTCACTCGGTAAGTCTCGCGTCTGGTACCGGAGACGAGCACTTGACATTAACGGGGAACGGACTGGACTGTACTCGTCGTCGATCGAGCAAAAACGGGAGTAGGAACTTCGCGGAAAGCCCGCCGAACATAACACCGAGTAATTAGTGCTCGCCGAAACCCGCCTGCCCCCCAACTCTTCCCACAATCGAAACCCGACCTCGAATGAGAGGAGCTTGCAATTAATGAAAAGGCAGTATCGAGATTAGAGTAGTAGTAATGCTGTGGGCGATCGCTCGAGCTGAGGCGAGCCTCGTGGATCTTCGAGGGTCGAAGCGGTAATTCCACACGACAGAGTCGGGGAACAGCGAACTAATTATATTTCGATCCACTGGAGAGACGTCGAGTGGAGGCCGGGCTGTCACTGGCCGCCGGCGAAGGTCGTCGGTCACGGCCCTCCTCAGCACCAACGAACCCGTGAGGCGGATACGATGCTGCTGCTGCTGCTGCTGCTGTACAGGGAGGGAGGCAGGGAATCGAAAAGCCGCCACTGGAAGAAATCGCAGTGTGGAGATAAGCCCGACCATCGGAATGAATGAAGTCGGGAACTGGACATCGAGGCCCTTCCTTGTCCACCCTCGGCCCTCTGCGAATCGCTGCGGAGAATCTCCACCGAGCCTCGTCTGAGATTATGCCCGCCACTGCTCGCCCCTCTGCGCAAGCTCACAAGCGAAAGGACAGCGCTGAATAATGCGCTTATCCACCGTAGCGGGCCAGGTCGCTATGCATGCAGCGTACAGTGGTCTCGATACTGTCGTATTCGTACAACAGTGCGTATATTGTAGTTTGCGTAGTACGCACCTGAGCCCTTGCTCCGAGCGACCGAGAAAACTCCTTCGTACAGAGATCGTGGAAAGCTGACAATTGTAGTCGACTCGACGCGGTCTGTGCCCCAACACGAACACCGTATATTCAATGGAGTTACCCGAGTTATCCGAGTTACCCAAGAGGTGGTGGGGTTGACGTGGTTCCGAGATGCGTGACGTGGTGGAGGGTGGGGGGCGCTGTCGGCGAGCCTAACAGACTTCGGAGCCGTGGTCGTGGTCGAGAGCGAGCATGTATATCCAATAGGCGGAATATCGTCCAGGCTTCGATACCGGCACGACAGGACCACGCCCGCAGGCGACATGGTTACGACGAAGTGCCACAGGGCGACGGTTGTGGTTTCCGGTGGACTATGTGCAGTACAGGTGGACGGGAGTCCAACGGGCTTCGATCATGCGTTGCGAAGAGGGCGAGCGGAATCGTGGACGCGGGGGCTCTCCGAATAGAATAGAATAAAATAGCGAACACAGTACAGAAGTTAGTGGGGACTGCGAGCGACAGTCGAACTGTCAGAGCCTCGGACCTGCCTTCCGAGCCTGGGGCGGTAGCGAGGTCTACCACAGCGAAAGCCCGGTACGGAAGCACGTCAGAGTATGAACTAGAACAATCTACGAAGTATGAAGTAGAGCAGGAGATCTCGGGGACCGACCGGCTTCCTTCGGCCAGTGTGACGATGGCTTTCTTCGGCAAGTACGTCCTTGGAGGGTTGTCGTAGACGGAGCTCGGGCACTCAGTCGGTCAGTCCACTTCACGTTGGGCGTCTGGCAGGCAGGAGCACCACCTACCAACGGTATGGGTGCCAGGGTGGACGGGAGGCTGGTCATAGGGTTGTAAAGGGCACCCACACTAGCCGGTGGAGCCGCAGAGCCAAAGGAGGAAGGCTGCAGAGAGCGCGATGGTCGGCCGCAAGAGTTGCGAACCGGAATGTCAACATGGGCGGGGATTTGACCCGGTAAGACGACCATGTGCGCTCTCGCCCTCTTTGTCTCATATTCCGGGATCCGGAAAAGAAGGGAGGCGTCGCGCGCCTCGCATCCATCGCGTATTGGCGCCGACGACCGGAACCGAGGTCGGGAGTCTTGTCCCCAAGTCCGCTGGAGGGGCCTGACTGACTGAGAAGAAGGCTTCATGCGCTGGGCTGCACAAGGGGAGGAATGGGCGAGCGCGAGCGCCAGCGCAAGGGCAGGGGATGGTAGAAACCGGGCGACGAGAAAGGAGGAGGAGGAGGATCGTATGTCGCCCGCGAGGGGGACGCGAGGGAGGGAGGGAGGGAGGGAGGGATGGAGGGCGAGCAGCAGCCTGGGTCTGAGCCTGCAGGAGGAGGGGGGAGGGCAGAGTCCAGACCGGGCCAGCGAGTGTACTGTGCGGCCTCGTGATTCGAGCCGAGCCGTGCCGAGCCGAGCCGGTGGAGCAGGAGATGGCATGGCCCATGGGCGATGGTGGGTCCGATTCTGTCCGTCTCTCTTGCTGCGCTCGCGCTGCTCAAGCCTGTGCGTCCCCCTTCTTTTGTTGGTTCATCCGTGGGTTTCGCTAGAATGCGCACTTTTCTAATCTTTCTGGAGGAGTTCATGAGGCTGAGCTCGGCCTATGTTTGTTCGTTCTAACCCGTTGGCTCGCCATAGCCTGGCTCGGCCTGGTCTGGCCTGCCAGCAACAGAGAAGCTCGCAAGCAATCGAAACGCGAATGGACCTTGTGCTTTGCGTCTGGGGGAATGAATGCATAAAACATCGGAAGCTGCCTCGAGAGAAAGAAGAGAGAGAGATTGATAGAGAGAAAGTGAGTGAGTGAGTGAGTGAGAGACAGAGAGAGAGAGTCCAGAATGTGGTTGACCACGCACGGTCTTGAGACGAGATCCCTTCGAGTGCCATCCCACCACGTCTGGTTCGTTGGATGGTTCGATTTTTAGGTGTATGATCTGAGTAGCTTTGTTTCGTCGGAGTTGATGCTGCTGCCGCCCGGCCCTGGCTTTTCTCCGAAGATCTGCCAATGGTATGAGGCGAGGAATGCCATCGACTTCGTCCGTTTGGTTGCATGCTCCCCCTGCCGTCGCTTTGCTACGAATTCTGCCGCACCATCGGTCTTTCTCCTGCCCGTCCTCCTCCTCTAGCTGCTTCGACGTGCCCCACGACCGAGGGGACGATTTGGATGACGAGAGGCGATGACCTCGGTGATCTGGTCTTTGCTTGTTTCAGCGCTGAGCAGATGAGAAGGATCTTCAAGAATGGTGTCTGATGTCCTCGCATCAGACGAGCGTGAATGATCGGCCGACTCCTGGTGAGCGTACCGACGCGGCGAGAGAGGAAGAGGGCGAGAGCGAGAAGGAGGTCGACGAAGAGACATATCGAGGAAGAGAGAGCTAGAGAGATATAGACATAGAGAGGGAGAGGGAGAGAGAGATAGAGAGCGAGAGTTTGAAGGACGAGGATGAAGCCGAGGAGTATATTTGGCAAACACGATATCGACTCACGCGGGAAAATTCAATTGCGACGTCATTTTTCAGGAAGTGCAGTTGCCAATTGAGCGTTTAGATATACAGACGGACTGTCAGACAAGTTTTATTGCATACATAGGGGTTCTATTTTTTCATATACAAGGGTTACATCGCATGAAAGTGGTGTTTGATTAGTGGTGAGTGTTTGCGGATACAAACATTTGGTTTGGATTTTATCGATAGTGGAGAGAGACGAATCAATCTTGAGGACATACAGACAGACAGACTTTATTGGGCTCGATCGGACATTTTCGGCTCGAGAGATGAGTTCTATGGTTCAGCAAAATGCTCAAATGGGAGGTCTCAAGAGAGCAGGCGAAGCGCCGGGAGTGTGGGCACCCACGAGCTTGCGCGTCAAGAGATCTATGCTGGGAGGACGGAGGATCATCGGCGGGCCCAGCACTCCCGTTCCCCGCTGGAAGCTTTACGAGAATCCCTTCTACGATGGCATCGCAGCAGCGGCGGCAGCGGCAGCCCAGCAGCAGAGTGGAAACGGAGGCGGGCGCAATGTCGCCGTTTCAGCTCGGAAGCTCGCAGCCACCCTGTGGGAACTGCAGGAGCTCCCGCTTTCGTTAGCCTCGTCTAAGTCTCAAGCCTGCCCTTGCGCTCAGTACCGACCTTCTCCGACTGCATCGAAAAGGTCTCGAGACCATCTCCTGGCGCTCGCCGACAATGCGAATGCCAACAGCGGCCAGCTCAATCCCTCGCCCCAGGAGTCGCCCCGCCATTCTTCCTACAGCTTCGTCAATGAGCCGGCTCCGGCCGACGTTGACAAGGAATCCATGGTCTCATTGCAACAGCCCAGCAAGGTTCGCATTTCCCTCCCTCGACCAAGAACTGCCCGAAGGCGTTGATTGCGTCGATCCCTCGGCCGCTTCCTCGTTCTCCTTTGCGACTGTATGTTCATTAGGATGGTCGATAAATCGTTTTAGCGATTGGTGATTGTATCAGGGGCTGCAATGTGAGGGGAACTGACGGCTTGCCGGCTTGCAGGGGCCAGGGTGGGACAGCGCTAAGAAGAGTTCCGTGTCAAGCAGCAGACAAGTTGCGGCGATGCGATCTCATGTACATAGACTTCTCGAGAGACGAGCGGACTCCAGGCTCGCGCAGATTGCATATGCTTCGGCGAATCCTGCTTCTCTCATGGTAAAGTTGCTTCCGTTGTCGTGCACGTGATTTAAGCCCGGGATTTGCTAACTCGTTGTAATGCGTGACTTGTGGATTTCTGTTGATGCGATCTGAATGCGTGTCGAAGTCCAGTGCGGATCAGATCTGTCCAGCGCAGCTCCGCAAGCACGACCTGTACGTACATTGCTCTAACTAGCTAGCTCGCGAGCGGAATGTAGTCACGCCAATTGTCCCTGGAGGTGAAAACTTCGCACGAGCGATGGTCGGCACGATGTCTAAACGCTGACGCTAAAATGGATTGTGAAGGTCTTGAATCGCATTCGTGGATTGGAAGAGCAACAGCAGCAGCAGCAACTGCCCCAGCCGCCGCCGCAGCAGCAGCAGCAGCAGATTATGCCCCAGCAGCCTCAGCAGGTGGTGCAGCAGGCTCAGCAGCAGCAGCAGCAGCAAGTGAACTCGACTCCTTCGTCCGTGGTGGCGGCGTTGCGGATGGAGGTGGAGCGCGCGCGCTCGAAAGTGCACGAGCTGGAGGTGGCGCAGAAGTCGGCGCGACGAGAAATCGACGCTCTTCTGAAGAAGATGTCGGACGAGAAGGCGGTGTGGCGGAACAAGGAGCAGGAGAAGATTCGGCAGGCGGTGCAGACGGTGAAGCTGGAGATGGAGGAGGAGAAGAAGGTGAGGCGGAGAGTGGAGTCTGTAAATAGGAAGATGTCGCGAGAACTCGTCGAAGCGAACTTGGCCGTGGCCAAGGCAGTGAACGAACTGGAGAGAGAGAGGAAAGCTCGAGAGCTGATGGAGGATGTTTGTGATGAGTTGGCGAGAGAGATCGGCGAGGACAAAGCCGAGGTCGAGGAGCTGAAGCGCGAGTCCGCCAAAGTCCGCGAAGAGGTCGAGGAGGAGCGCAAGATGCTGCAGATGGCCGAGGTGTGGCGCGAGGAGAGGGTGCAGATGAAGCTGGCCGAGGCTCGCCTGGAGATCGAGGAGAAGAGCTCCGCCCTCGACCACCTCAAGATGGATCTCGAGGCATTCCTGCACAAGGCGAGGAAGAGTTTTCACCGAGATTCGCCTGAGGACGAGGAGGCCAATTACAAGGAGGCCGAGGAGCTGAAGATGCAAGTGGATTCTCTGAACTTGAAGGAAGTGTTCAAGAGCCCGTGCTTCTACCCGGAGGCCGACAGCGCCGCCTCCGATCTGTATGAGGTCGATGCCCCTGGCAACGACGTCTCCGCCGACGAGAGGCCCGATTGGGGCTGGGGTGCTGTGCACAACAAGCGGCGCGAGGCATCGCAGCTGCAGGGGCATGCCGGCGAGCTGGGCCACAAGCTCGAGAGCCGCGAACAGGTGCTCGAGAGGCTGAGGCGGAAGTACTCGGACCAGAATGGGCACCTGAACCACCACCTCCACGCTTCGAGCAAGGAGGAGACTCAGGAGGATTCCAGCAGGCAATGGGAGGCGTACACGAGCGACCCTCAGGAGAACGATCGAGATGGTGGAAGTGATTGGAACTCTCAGAGTGACGGAGGTGCACGAGGCGATGACGCCAAGGAGGAGGATGGTAGTCAGTGGGAAAGTGCCAGCGACCAGGACATCGAGGCCATGCAGAGCAACAACAACTCTCGCCCCTCGACTCGCGGAGGGCGGGGCGGGGCCGACGAGTTCCTGCGAGGAGGGCCCGTGGCGCCCGACGCTGCGGCCGATGCGCACTGCGGTGGCTACGAGAGCATGTCGTCGCCTCAAACATCATACATTATTAACAACGTTAACATCAACAACAACATCACACAACAACAACATCAACTTCACCAACATCATCAGCAGCAGCAGCAGCAGCAAGCAGCCGCCGCCGCCGAGCTCTCGTCGGGAGACGACTTGTGGAAGGTGGTCAGCAGCTCGCCGATGTCGCGCAGCAAAGTTCTGAGCGAGGATAGGAGTAGAGGGGAGGGAGGGTCGAGGAACTCCCTGGGCCGGGGTATGTTAGAAGTCTCCCGCAACTCCCACATGAGATTGGCTGCAGAGCAGGGAACTGCCAGTCCTTCTCGGGACTGGAGATCCCCAGATAGGGGCAACCCCCACATTGCGCGAGGAATCAAGGGCTTTATTGAGTGGCCCAAGATGTCCCGCGAGAATGCTGTCAAGGGTAAGATTGTGGACTCCAAAGTGGAGAAAACTGACCGACGGATTCTGAGACAAAACTCGTAACCGGGTTGGCGCTCACGAATCGTGCTCGAGATGACCCTCCTCCTCATTCCTGCCGTGTGCTCTGATCTGAGCCTGAGCCTGAGCTTGAGCTGCTCGAGAGGTTGTGACACAGTGCTAGGCCTTCGGACAACCTTCACACTACTACATGTAGAGTAGATTTCAATCAACAATATTAGACAGTAGGAGTCGTAGTAGTTTGATTGTTTGGTTAACTCGTTTATTCGTTGGTCGTGCTCTGGTAGATGATGCAAGGCCCTACTTGTTTCTCGAAGTAAATGCAATTGAATTACAATTGCAGCTCGTCAGCTCAGATAAAACAATCATCGATCCACTAGAGAGCAAGCAGCCCCTTTCACCACCTGCTGATGGATGATGGATGGTCATCTCTCGTTGTAAACACACCAACCATTGTACTCATCTAGTTGAACCCACCCTTGTAAGTGAACCCAATTTTATTAAGTGAACCCCAATTTTTAAATTTTATCCATTCCCATTTCATCTTGTCCATTCACTATTTTCCACAGATATTCCTTATCTGTCTGGAGTTTTCGTAGCCTTTTCTTCCTTCCTTTCCCCAGGTTGTCGACCGCATTCAGATTGTTTTCATTACTTTTTTTCCTTTGGATTGAACATGTCTCGTCCAAAGGCGAAGTCCGACGGTTTTTTCCCAACCGAGAGGAAGGACGATGCCCTGGTGAGCCGATTCAAGTTGGAACGTCAGGCCCATGGGAGAGATTTCACCAGGTTTTTTCCTCCACAAACTAAATAAATCTGTGTCAAGTTTCTGTTTTCTTCTTGCTTCCTTCCTACACATCACACAACTACCTCCAACTGAAATGACGCTCACCCAAAGCAGCGGCTGGAACCGGAACCCCAAGCACGCTGCGCAGTGCGGTACCACCCGGAACAAAACCTGGCGCCCAACTCACTGGCCAGGCGCACACCTGCAGAGGTCAGATCGGTCCTGTCGCTCGTAAGCTCCAGAGCTGCTCGCTAAAAGCAAACAGGTCGACAGACAGCGAAAAATTCGATCGAATCGATGGCACAGAAAGACGAATGAACGAGTTGCAAACAGCAGTGCTCACGGTTTGACATCGGCCTGGCGCGATCCCCCAGGCGATGCACCATCGTCGCCCAAAAGTGCGTAATCTATCCGAATTGACCAGTGCATTCTTCGGCCTCGGGATTCGCCACCTTTCTGACCAACACCTCCCACTACGAACGTGGAACGCTGTACAGTAACAGAGTCTCGAGTGCCCTGCGTCATGCAATTGCCAGCGTCGAGGAAGTGAAGCAGGTTCTGGTGAAAGAAGGCAATCGGATCAGACGAAACTGTTGCGCATTTGTGATGTACGAAGGGCAGAGAGTCCCGGCGAAACCACTTATGAGGAGTGAAGGATTTAAATAATGCAACCACACTATCAGGATGTTACTATTAATGTTACTACCTTTATACTGGTGACTAGCACATTGTTTTCAATTTCTTTCGCTTGAGGAGTTGATACTATAATATATTCATCACATATGGATTATAAAATCATTGGAAAATCCAATCAACCCTAACAAGAATGGTCAGTACTAAAAGGTATGTGATTTTATTTCAATATATCATTCTGGGATAAGAGAGTAATTAGATGTCAAATCATTCTTGTATTATTTTAATATATTTACACAGTAGTAACAAGGATATACAGTATACATTTATCATACGTTTCATTCATACATCATACATACATTCATACAGAAGACATGCTAAATATATCACCACATGAAATACCACCCGAAGTGGTATTTCATGTGGCACATATCTTTGCATCCTGTATTTTGAAAGCTTCTCACTTGCGCAATGTGTTGACTCTTCAATATGTGAAGCTCTTTCGGTTCCTTGAGATTAGTAGAGGGCAAAATGATGTGTTGTTAGTTGTAACCATCCAACTAGATGTCTCTCAATCACATCCTACAATCCATATTGAATAGGATAGTTCAATACGGTTGATGATTTCCATTCTCGTCTCCTTAACATGTATGTATGTCATTCGAGTGCAATTCTAGGGATTTTTAATGAGATTAGAGATACGTTCTTCCTCCGGCTGGGTTTGTTGGTTTAGGTTTGAAGAGGTTATCCTTTAAGAGGTTATGGTTGATCCATATGATACATCTTCCAAAACTGATATTTGGATATTTTGCTTCAAATCCTGTTGTACTTTTGTTGTTTCTATTTTTTCTTGTAAATATCTTTAGTTGATCAAAACTAAAGTAAAATACATTTAATATGAAATTATAGTTACTTTGAAATACACTAGTCATAATTGGCACGTCAGCGTAATTGGTAAGTATAGAGTAAGTATGTTAGTTAAGAGCAATGTGTTTGTTAGGTAAAGATTGAACGTGTTAGTTGAGAACGACACGTACAAAATCATTGTGCTTGTTAATATCATATGCAATGTAGTCAATCCATTAGGAATGGATTGGAGGATAGAGATAAGATTTTATCTTCTTGCACTTATTGATAACATCTATATAAGGTTGAGAATAATCATTGTTGTTGATATAAACACAACTTTCATCTTCAAAGTTGTGTTTCGTCTTCAAATGATATCTACTCTTCATCCTTAGTGTTACACTTCGCTTCTTGATAGCATTATTAAATTTCAACTTTAGTATTATTCCAATTGTACTTTTCACTTGTTGTTGGTTGCATTTAGAAGTGAACTTTGTATGAATTGTGATCCAAGTAAAAGCTTTTGATTCATCTTTGCAGTTCTTGTTCTATAGTGATCACATATAATACAACTATGAAGAATGTGACTCTACCCATCAGTAGAATTAAAACTGCTATGCATAAATGCATTCTACGTCACAATGACGATTGACTTGGATACAATTCATCTCTACAAAGAAAAATGCTTAGCCATACTTTCATTTCTGCATTACTTGATATAAGATTTTCAAAAAGTTTATAATAATACATGGACTACTTATTCCTATTATTAACAAGTCTACGCATTTTGTCTTCATCACATATGACACCCCATTAATGCTTCATGCAAATCACTTCCCGACTTTGATACTTCTTGATTTTCATGATAAAATATGTTGCCCAACCTCGTCCGCAGATTCATGTCCAAATCAATATTATGAATATCAAAATTACTACTGCAATTAACGTATGATATCATTGTGCTCAATCCTCAAAGCTATAGTCACTCCTTCTATCTTTTGATGTATACTCCATTGAGTATACTTTTGAAAATTCACCATATGATTGAACAATTTGTGACTTCATTTAAGATGGATCCGAAAATTGGTGGTGTGTTTGTTCATCATTTTTCAACGCTACAATACTCATTTCAATCCACAACAAGTATGAACTAGAATTTGATAAGAAATCTGTTACTTCAACTCCGTTTTTCTTCCAAAGTCACTTACTTCTTTTGTCTCCAAACTAGATCTTGCACTGGTATATGTAATTCCTTCTTCTTTGACAAAATCTTCTTGAGAACATCATTTTGATCGACCTTGTACGTTGTGTTTGAACCTCGTCTCTTTATTCTTGTAGTTTTGATATAATTGTAACAAAAAACATGTGATTTACAAAGTGCAAAATGCACTTTGTAAACCTTGTTGCTTTGATTTTTTATAAATATATCTATCTCTATGAATAGATTATCAATCATTGATGAGTCTGCAATATTGAAACATGTTGATTGATCCTATATTATGAAAGATTTAATCTATTTAATATGTAGACATTGTAGATTTATACAATCAAGTTTCCTTTGAAAATTATAAATATATTATAATTCCACGTTGAATTTTTTCATATACTATTATACATAGAAACCTAACTCAATTGATCCAAGACCAAAAAAATGTAGAAATTTAGTAATTTGATATTATTTCAACGTATCAGCTTCCACAACCGTGTACAACATGATAAACAGAAAATGGTATATTTTTTATCAAAAGTTTGAAAGTTAATATAATATTTAGATCATTATCATATACAAATTTTAATCTATGTTATAAATTAGAATATATATATATATATTTATTATCTCCGGTTTTAACATAGATATTTTTTTGAAAATTTCAAAAATCTTGGATGCAATCCAATGGACATGCGGAAAATTTCAATAGTGAGTGATTTTATGTTGGAATACCTATTGTATACTGACTCAAAATCATTATCAAAGCACATGTACACGAAACATACAGGAAGTTGGTAACGAAGGGAAGTTCTAGATATCTATTATTAATTATCTACTTCCAAATATAAACATCCGATGTAATTGACAATTTATAAGAGTCTAAACACTTCGAACAATATACACAATACCTCAAACCAATTTGAAGATATGACAATCTGTCAGGTAAAAAGTTTCGTCAACGTTCAAAGCAATCTAAAAAATGTTAGTATTTTCCGATCGATTGATTATTATATGATAAATTTTATCTCATGATTTTACGATGAGGTTGTTCCTTATAGAGAGAGCTTAGAAAAGTCTAAAAAAAAATCCCGATCACGAGATCAAAGGAAACAGAGAACCAATCTAGAGATGAATCTATCTCACCATCTTGACTTCATCCAAAATTTAACGTTTTAAAGGCAGAGACTAGACATTACCACTCATCTCAAATAGAAGCCATTTTCGCTCGAGGGCACGTTCTGATGGTCACTCTGATCTGAAGCTCTAAGATACTGCATGCACGCAGCATGCGAAGGATTAGCGACCTCGGCGCTAGAATTTCCGAACAGTCCGCGTACAAATTTCGTCGCACAGATCCGAACGATTGTGCATGCAATCCGCGCATTTAGCGGAAGAGCGCATGCGCGAACTGCAAATCAAATGATTCGGGGAAGGCTGGCGGTCGTTAGCGGAGGGCATCGGCCCCCACGCAGGCCAGAGGGACGAGGTCGATGAAGCTGTGTCGGAGTTCCGACCTAACGAGGAATGAGTGGGAAGCAGATGGGCGATGGCGAATTGCGTTTTGCGCGTGCGAAGTCGGATTCCCCTCGAGGTCTTTACGGGTCGACGGGCGAGGTCCTCGGCGCCACTAGTCAGAGGCGATGATGCAGGTCGTGAGAAATAAGCCTCGGCTGTCATTACAGCCAACGCGAATGTGCAAGGAGTGGCTGTAGTCGGGAGTTTGCGAAAGCATTGTGGAAGATGCAATGTCACATTCCGTTTCTTGACGTGCGCAGAAACTTGCATCGTGTTTAATTTCGGGGAAAATGAGTGTGTGCGTGTCTCCTGTGTTGGCTCCGGCTTGGAATGTGGACCTCGAGTTGCAGAAAGAACTGGATGCCGTCAGCATCCGCTCCCACTTGTCATCATCGTCATCCTCAGCAGGTAGAATCACCCCGAATTTTTCCGACATAATGTCCGGTCACGTTTGTAGAAAGAAGCACAATCTAGCATGGACACAAAGATCCATCGAATTTCAGCCAGGATGACCCAATTGTCGTGAACACAAGGGTATATGCTAGCGAGTACTGAAGGCAAGGATTGAACGGACAATCTATGTTGGGATGTCTAATCACTGGATCTCTGAGAATATAACCTCGCTGTCCTTCATGCCCACGGGATTCCGGCTGGGACTACGGAAGTTAGTGTTCAGGATTAGGTGCATAAGGACGATAGTTATCTCGTCTAAGGTCTTGACAGTTTTTAACTGCACTATGACGTGTTTCATTGACGGTCTTATCCCGCGGAAGCACCGTAAAATGTTCATATCCTCATCCCTCGTCATTGCAGTGAGAACTTGTTGTGTCAAATTTCTTGCGAGCTGAAGCCGTAATACATCATTTTGACTAAGGAATAAAACTAAGCGAAACAGAGGACTAAGAATCCCGATCTGATGTGGTGAAAACCTCAGTATCGTCTTCTTTATCTATGTGATCCCGTATCCACCTCTTGAGCCTAATCCGTTACTGTGAGGAGAATCATCTGGATTACACGCTCTGATCGAATTCATACACTAGCCTACTACAGAAGGATTCAAATCGGATCACCAGCAGTCCTTGCCGTAATATGCCGGTGTATACTTCCATGCAGCGGGAATTTACTCCCGGTCATCTCTCTAGCCTTCCTTAATCAGCTGTGCGAGGCACCGGTCTGCACTACAGAACGATGAAGATGGGAACAAATGATTCACATGATTTTTATTCGAAAGCTATTCAAAACCATACGAAGTTGAAATCTGTCTATCTTCGTTTCGGAGTGCCCAGGGAGAAATTACGCTGCAGTTTGACTTTCTACTAAGCGAAACCTGTACTGAAAGCGTTGAGACATTTTCTTTAATTTCGAATGGTCATTTCGGCCTGAGATGTCGAGCACGTCAACTCAGTGCAAAATCCCGCGCGAAAACGTGAGATTCAACGGCCGACTGGCTAGAGATGACTATTTTCAAACCTTTTGCAGGAGATGACGAATATGAGACGAAAGGAGACGATCGAGAGGCTTTGGCTTTAGCAACGAACGCACGACTCGATATGCTCCTTGATGGCTGGCGTGTCAAAGAGAAAAAGCTTCAAGAGTATGAACAAACGTTGAATAGAATACGGCTCTGGCAAGGAGGTTTGATAAGCGACGAGGAAATGAGGGGAAAGGAATCCGAAGATAAGAGTGTCTCTAGTTCCAAACACCATATTCACTCTGACCCTCCAGAGCAGGTGAGACCCCAGACGAAATTTTTGGCGGAGGCTACATCAATGAGTAAAACTCACGAGGTCAAGGAGACTGAAACGCAGAGAGACTTGAAGCAGTCCCTCGATTGTATAAAATTGAGTCCAATAGCGACAAGGGTGCCAGACTTCATCACTCGCCTCGGAGAAACACCTCAAGAGTCACCCTGTAGCAATTCCCTTGATGCTGTGAGCTCTTGCAATACAAGCACAGAGAAACATGACAACTCCGATTTGAAGTTCTCGAAGACGAATCCGGAATACCGAGAAAGCAAGGAAACCGTATGTAGCGAATCTTGTTCCTCCGCAGGTGACTTTGAAGAAGATGCGATAACTCTCCTTAATGCTAGGAGAACAAAAATGCTAGAGGAATTCAGAGCTGCAGAGGTACAAAGAACTAGAGAATGGAATCAAAGACGGAAGGTTGATAGTGAGGAGTCCGAACGGAAAATGGCTCTGGCATCTGAAAGGCGACAGGAGCTAGAAGTAAGCTCTCCAAATTGTAAGAACCATCATCTTACTTAACTTTTACTTTCCCCCGGCGATGTAGGCTACATCCTCAATTTGAGTTTTTCTTGTGAATCGAGCTGTTGCTGTGTTGAGACGACTTATATTCTTCACTGTCTGAAGGTTGTAGGAGGAGTGAATGATTGCAGATACCAAGTAGATTGAATGCTATGCTAGAGTTTTTCCAATCACATCATTCCGATCTTTTCAAGGTCTAAAAAGGGAACCCCAAGAACGACTGCATGATTGGTACACGTAAAACAGCATCTTCTTCAAAGTTTTGCCTAATATTTGTCCACTTTACACCTCGTTGTAGGTGGAGCTGCAAAAAGAACAAAGAACGAAACTTGCCACTCTCGAAACGGAGCAAAGAAGGAAATTGAGGTAGGAACCCTACCTTGTTCATGGAACGAAAGCCATGGTTAATTTTGATCATATCCAAGAAAATTCTTATGTGATTAGGTTCAGCACCAACGGCTAGATTCGAAGTTGACTGCTGTGCTCACTCCTCAGAACTTGCAGTGTCAAGCCCACATTTTTCCTGACTAGTCTCCAATGTTCGAAAGCCATGTTAATTCAGAATCTGAATAGAAGATTTTGCAAATTAGCATTTTAACCATATTTGGCCCTTCTCTTTGACGGTTCGAGCTACCTAGAAATGTTGCCAGTTAAGACTATTCCTTGATTGCAGGTTCCATGCGCATTTTTACGCATCTACTTACATCACTTCCCAGTCATGAAAATGATTGTGTCCAAGAGTCAACGCTGCTTCAATGTTTTTCTTAAATGTCAATGTGGTTTCTCCAGGTTGCTTGAGGAGCTACAAAGAACGGAAGAAAGCAACCTGGAATCGGAGAAACAAGAGATGGAAGTAAGATACAAGGCGCTCACGGACATATCAGATACATACAAGCATTTGGAGGAGGAGCTGGTAGGAATCCCTCTGCTAAACCTGTAGTCTGCTTACAACGTCTCAATAACTTCTTAGCAGATGATTAATAGTGGAGGTGGACGTCATTTGAGAGTGTAGCTCCGCTGAGTCGCTTTTGTCCATCACGACCAGCAGTAAAGTGACCTTATTGTATGGCTTTTCGAGACCTAGCAGACAGCACACTACAAGATACACCATTCTGCTGATAGCGCATTCAACGCCTTGTTTCAAGGCTAACAACAAAAAATTTCACAGGACTTGAGAAGGTTGGACCACGACGATACAGTAAGGGAAATGCTTAGTCAGGTACGTGTCAACATGCAGCTTTGACAGATTCCAAGAGATGACAACCCTCTGTTTATAAGCGTGTGTTTATTGACAAGTCCCCTTTCTTCTTGCTCGAATAATTTGCTTACGAAACTGTGACGTCAAATTATTCAAGTGGACATTCATATTCTCTACATTCTAACGGCATGAAGCACAAGGTTGAGTAGGCCTTACAAGAACCAAAAAAAAACATCGGCGCACAGCTCTTCCGAGCGACCTATCTAATTGTCCTGTGACCTCACTCAGAGCGTTGGAAGTCTGAGAAACACCATCACTCTATCGGTATTTCTCCATGATGGTCGGGGGAAATTTTTTGACAAAATCTACTATAACGAACAAGATTACGCTGATATTTATGTACATTTTGCCTCAAGGCTATTCGGTCGCAGGAACAGATTTATAATCCAGGAATTTCAAACTTACAAGAAGATGCAGATGATAGCCATGCACAGAGGTGTTGTATCCAAATTCAAGCTCTGGTAAGAGGCCACCTATGCAGGAAGAAATACAAGTTTTCGAGGCATCACGAGAGCGAGATTGACAGGACTCCCCAAACGAAGCTGGTCTTAGATGAGCGATGTGAGTGTACTTCAGATTTTTCCACATATGTCGGTTTTACGGAAGTGATTTACTTTCGTTCAGTAGTCTTCAACCAGCAACTATTTTCTCTTTTCAGATTACCCGGCATCTGGTAACTCCATGCTTGCTCTCATGACAGCTTGTTGCTCACTGTACATCCGTTTCCTTGTGCATACTGATCACTAGCATAGACTTCTGCACTGACAGATTGTACATGTCATCAGAGCAGCGCTTAATTCTTGATGTGCCGGTTCTTTCAGTTGGTCTATCTGTAACATATGCTGTCAAGTTATTCTAACAGCAAAAACAGATATAACGGATAGAGGAAAACTGATGTAGAGTTAATTCTTTAAGTACATAACGAAATAAAATATTTTCATGTAGAAGATGGATGGTACTCAATTAGATCCCAAACCACATTAATGTGAGATGTGATGTCCGAACAAAGTAGAACTTGTTACGATCCATCCGAAACAAAAACAGCTTATTTCCCAAGGAAGAGTGTAGAGCGCCAACAGCCATCATATTGCCAATGAGTGCTTACCTGATGAGGACGGTGCTCTCATCACACTCACCAGAAGCTTTCACTAGGAATTACACCATTTTCGTTTGAAAAGTAAACACTGCGTATATGTACGTCAAAGTAGTACTAAGGTAGGAATTTGAAAGTAAACCTAAATAAGCGCATCTAGACCTTCTCACAATGTAAGCAACTCACGGACTGCCAAGAACAGTTCTTTTCCTACATGATGGGTAAAAGAGAATAGGATCACCCTAAGGTCGCTATCTCCTAACTTTTATTTCACTGCCTGTTCTGGCAATCTCTTTACGCACACATATCACTAAATTATGATTTTTCCAACAACAGGTTCGAACAACATGCAAGAAACTACAATATGCGAAGAAAGTGGAAACAAGCAGTCACCTGCTAGAACTCCGGATCTAAATTGCAAAAACTGGCAGTTATATGAGGAGGTGCTGGATAGGTTGACAGATCTCGCAGGAACTGGAAATATAGATGACATTTACCCATGTTTGGAACTTGCGAAGGCCATAGGTCTGGATGAAGAGGCAAGAGCCGTGGAAGACGAGGTTTATCAAAGAAAGGAAAGTACGCGGAACTGGTTAACACAGGTTATTAATGGATGGGATACTGGAAGAGTCAATCTGCAGAAGCATTTTGAAGAAGCGAACAGAGTAAATCTGGCACCCCTGTATGCTGTAGCTGAGGCGGTTGTTTTCGCTAGAGAAAAAGAAATTGGTGAGAGTTTGGAAATGGCAATCTCCAGGGCTTCCCGATGGGACTTCTACCTTTGGATGTGTAGAGCGAAAGTTATGGGTATGGAGGAGGTCCTGACATGTTCCTATCAACTATTTCAGAGGAAATTAAAACTTGTCAAGGATGCGCTAGAGAAAGAGTCAAAACTCGGCACTAAAGATCAGTACAGCATACCCTTTCAAGAAGCCACCTCAATGGGTTTGCAATCAGAGACAGGGCTGGCAATGAAAGTCATATTGAAAAGGGTGCTGCAGTTCATCAGACGAGCAATCGTGCTTGTAGGCACAAAATCCAGCAAACGCAATCCTAGAGCACAAGACTGGAAAACAGTGGAGCATGAGGGAACTCAGATTGGGTTGGACATGACTACCATGGAATACCTGAGGCAGGCAATTATAAGTAGCAGAACATTAGAATGTGTCAAGCGAGTCTGGATTACCAAATATAAGACAAGCGACACGGGGGTGCCCATTGAGTTGATAAATAAACGGCATGGTTCTGTTGCTGGTTGGGATAACACACTTGTATACCCAACAAATGGCCCGGAATGCGAAATTCCGGAGGTCTCGAACAACAACGGGAGATCAAGCAATCCAGCTACTAGACTCCCAGGGGAAACTTGGCCATCAGTTGATTCCAAATTGCGGGAAGATTCAAAGTGGGTTATGCCGCATAACTGGTTGGAAATGCTGAGGCTTCAAAGCCTCTGGCAGCAGCAGATGATAAGCGAACGGACATCGGGGCTCTTAGATTTCAGGCCGGGTTCGCAGGAAGCAAAGAAAATAAACTCAGAATATGACAAGCATATGTTGAACCATCATTGCGCTCGTCTGCGTGAGTCTGCTACAAGTCCCTTCATAACTGGCAGTTTTCTAGAGAGCTTTACGCTCGAAGAATTAAGTGAAAGGCAGAAAGACACGCTAGAAGTAGAACGGGACTACAGGCAGGAGGAGGCAGGACAGTATGACGATGAGGGGCTTGGAGGGGCTACTGACGTGGATGAGGAAGATTTGAAGCAAGTCGTTGACGGAGATGAGCTACTTGTCGAACGGGTGACTATTACCCCCAGCAAAAGCTCCATATCAAGAGAAATGCTTGAAAGGAGATTCAATTGTGGTAGAAGAGACCTGAGATGGATGATGAGACTAGACTTGATCAACGAAGGCCTCACATCTCTCGGTAAAAATAGTATCTTTCGCTGGTGCCCACGGCTGAGGTGCTTATCGGTGGACACAAACAGGCTTACTACATTTCAAGAAGTTTTTGAGGGTGGTGAAGGTTACCTAGAACAATTATCAGCCAGAGACAATTTATTGGAAGACTTGACTGGTTTGGAAGGACTTCAGAAACTGACCGTCCTACACTTAGACGGAAACTTCTTAACTCAGCTAACTGCAAATAAAAAGCGAACCGGAAAAGAGAACTCTGCGGTGAACACGTGTGCTACAAGTAATGACTGCTGTGGAGTTGTTCCAGGTCAATTACCTGAGGTCTGCTGGTCGAGATTGCAAGTCTTGACTTTAGCCTGTAATCGACTAACAAACGTATCACAGCTTGGTAGTCTCTGTCCAAACCTAGAAGTGTTGGATCTTGGGTCCAACCAGCTCGTGACTTTTGGTAAAGGAGAAAAAAATGCCTTGACTTGTCTTCAGCATTTGAGGGTCTTAGATGTTGGACAAAATAAGCTTAAAAGCAGAAGCTTGTGGGAGGGCTTGAAACACTGTCCAGAACTTGTGTCATTAGTGGCCTCACGGAACCATCTCACAGAGCTTCCCAACCATTTTGGGAGTGTCCTGCTGCGAGAAATTTGGCTAAATGGTAATGCTATCAAACAGCTGGGGTGCAAAGTATGGCTTCCCAGTCTGCAAAGACTTTATCTTCAGGACAACCTTATCACATCACTCGAGCCGTTATGGGGATGTCCAGCTCTCGAGGTAATCAGTCGATTCTTAAAGAAACCTTGAATTCAAATCCTAGCATAGTAATGAAGTTCATGAAAATTCTGAAATTATGCTTTTCATTGGTGCTGATACGGTACGTGACCTGGGTTCAGAACGTCATGAGATAGTTCGGTCCATATCCGGTGTGGACGTTAAAGCATTGAGAATCCTTCCCCTCAAAACATTAATTATCCCACCTCTCCGCAGAATCACAAGTTTATAGAAAACTGAGGCAAGGTCTGATTTCGGTGAAGCACTCTCGCCTGTATACCTGATGTACGTCCAGATCATGTATGACTCTAGAACAACGACGGAGCAACTTAAGGAATGATGAAACGCCGATGAATAAATTTCAACTCATACACCCTGGCTCGTGGGTTGCAGGTTCTTGATCTATCTTTCAACTGTATATCTGAGCACTCTCAGCTGCAGCATCTATCGGGTTTCCCCAACCTGCGATCCTTGCAGCTAAATGACAATCCAATATCAGAGCAAGAGGACCATGCTGACTATGTCCTACAAGCTGTCCCGTGGCTTGCAGAACTTGACAACGAAGCAGTTTCGAAGACTTCGCGCGACAAAGCCATTTCCACAATATTTAACAACATGATGGAGGTGGTTGGTATAGCTTTCGTGAAGGAGAAACTGGCTAGAGGAGACACGCTTTTACGTGGGTTCACCAATCCATGTAGCGCACATAAGATTTCTTTCAACAGACAAGAGCACAATGAAAATCGAAACGGCCAGTTCTTGAATAGAAATATATGGGAAGTAAATGATGTAATGAACGGGGAAGCAGATGAAGCTTCACTGTGGGCCATCTTAATGGAGACCAAACACCTTGCGCAATCAAGCGCAGTTTTTCAGAGTCTTCTGACAATGAATGCAGAGATTTTAAAACTTGGCACCCTTCGCGTTCTTACTGAAAGTGAGTTTGAGGCAAGAAGCATTATGACTGCGTACCAGCAAATGACTCATGGACTTCGAGGTAAACTCCATGCGGCGACAAAAGAAAGATGTTTCAGAGTTTCAAAAGAAACAGATATTTCTGGTCAGCACATATACCAGAGATGGCCACTGGGCGAGACTATCACTCAAGTTGGACCACTCAGCCGATCGTCCGGAGTGAGTGGAACCAGCGATAAAGAGGGAGCATGCCACTTGGAGTGGTGTTTAGAAGAGCATACTACTTTCGATACACGAGCTTATACTGAGATCTACAAGGAGAATGCTGATTATAGACTCGAGGCTGAGGCTCAGAGTAGGAGGGTGGTGAAGCTGCAAGCACTTGCAAGAGCATACATGGCTCGGAAAAGAGTAAAGGTGCTACTGAGAGCAAGGAGGGAAAAGCAAGAGCTAGAAACGCGAAGAGGTGTTGTTAGAGTGCAGGCTTTGTGGAGGGGTTGGAAGGTTAGAAGAGAGAAAATCCTAGAACGCCTCAAACTTGAGGCTGTGGAAAGAAAGCTACAGATTGAAGCAGCTATACCCATTCAAGCTCGGTGGCGAGGCTATATAACCAGAGTCAAATTTCAACAGGCAATGAAGAGGGCTAAATATACTGATGATGACGATTTTGATTATGAACCAATTGATGAGAGTGACTTTCTTGCAGGTGAATTAGCACTTGCTTCGTATCAACCAGCTGACATGTACTTGTTTGCTCTTGGATCTACTTCTCATGGGGCCAAAGACACTCCAATTCTACGCATGAGTGCTCTAGAGGAGTTTCATCACGAGGATACCTTAGCCAAGGACGCAAAACAAATAGAAGCAAGCTTCACACCACAAAAGTGTCCAGGTACGAGTTTGAAAAACACCAAGACAGTAGAGGCCGCGCAGACAAGTACATTTATTTCACAGCCTTGCCGAGCCTCCAGTCTGGATGGCAACGAGAAAGAGGTGGCTGAAGTGGCGAAGAACTTCAACCCGCTCACTTGTCTAGTTTCTGGTGCCAAAGCCATTGAGAAAGTGATCGAAGTTAAAAGCGTTGAGGGTATTATTCAGACAAAGAGTGTTGACAAGGAAAAAAGATCAAAAGAGGTGAAAAGCCCTGACCCGCCGGTGCAGTTGGACCAGAAGTCTCTCAAGGAGTTGATAGAGAGCATGGGATTCAACTCACCATTTCCTTCAAAAAGTGTAAATACGGAAGCGAAAGAGGTCCCGGAAGGTGACGTTTGTACAACAATCAGTAGACATCTTGACAGATTGATCAGTTCATCGGTTGACAGTGAACAGCAGGTATAAGCAAGAACTGTTTCACCACAGCCAACTGCTAAATTCCCTGATTTTCCTCTTTATTCATAGTCTATCAGTTCTTACCTGGTGATCATTCAAGCAAGTTATAAAGAAGTTCGTTTGTAAATTTATATAAAATTATGAAGAGCCAGAAACTTTTTCTTCAGCATCAATTAAAAGATTCATAAGAACTCGACGGTTTGGCCGGACAGACCTGTGATATCAAAAAACTTCAGTTTTACGTAATATCTCTATCACTAACAAATGCTTGTATTCAATCTTTATTGAAGACGGAAATATCCCAACAAAATTTAAGGGAGAATCCACAAAGATTTCAGTTATCTATCATTCGGGATATGGCCCAATATTAAGAGTAGGTTGACCGATGACGACTGAGCAGATTATAACAAGCGAGAGAGCCGAATCACCGGTGGGAGAGTCGAAGAAGAAGGCAACATTAGATGACAAAAAGGCGGCGATTGAAGAAATAGCTAAGGACTGGTCCTCCTTCCCACCTTCCCTCTGACCTTATCTTTCAATTGTCTCATCCAACGCACTCGCATCCACAAGCTCACAAGATGGAGAATAAGCACTCGTTTGTTCAGACGATCATAAAGGAACATTGAACAGTTGTCTTGTATGTTCAGAATTACTACTCATATGATGTTCGAATTCTGCACAACCACGACCACTCACTCCGTACCCTTGCTTCAGTGCATGATACATGTAACTTTCAGCATGCTCAGAATTGTGGTGGTAATTCGTTGACTGCCTTATGGATGAGGTTTTTACTTCAGGGGTTTCAAAAGTGAGAGAACTGCTGAAGCCTACATGAAGGCTAGGGAAAGAACAATGAAGAAAGCTAAAGACATGGCGCAGCAGCAAACTTTACGGGGTATGTGACAAAATACTAATATAATCCTAGCTTCTGAGCTAAAGTGCTGAATCCTTTCGATGACAATCTAATGAAACCTTGTAATTTCCTTGTGGCTGAGTCTAGATCCAGAAACACGATTCAAGCGTTTCAAGGCAAAACTAGGAGGACAACTTCCAGCAGTAGTACCTCCATTGAAGCTCTCCGAGTCAAAAGTTTCTTCTTGTAAGCCCTTCAAAAGCCTTATTAATCTTTCGGCAAACACTATGGCACCGTGCAATCACCTTAAGTGAGAATTTTTTCACTGGAAATAATTTTCTCACTATGCTCTCGATTTCTCCTTATAATTTCTCCGCTGGCAACTTGCGTGAATAGAAGGAATGTTCTCAACGTCTCATGTTCTAAAACCTGAACTCTGGTTGAGTTTGGCTATTGAGAGGAACCAAAATTCTCATGAATGACTTGGTTTGACAGCCTATACTGCTGAGCGCCAAGTTAACGACTGCCAAAAGCACCTCAGAGAGCGATTGTGTGATAGCGGAGGTCAGATCCTCGGGGCTGCTCCAATTTCCCACCGGAATGCCGCTCTTCTACAACCAGCTAAGGATCAAAAGAAAATTTCCTCCGTTACGGAGATCCCAACTGAAATGAAGATGACCGAGATGAAGGTGGCTAGTTACTGTACCTCTTAAATCGACCTCCACGCTACACGTCTAACATCAATTTTAAATTAACGAAACTCAGAAGGTAAAGACAGATCGTTAGAAACTCACATTACAGGACTAGCTACATGCTCGCTCTCTAGGAGATGACGCATTACATCTCAAAGAGTTCAATCACCCACTAATACAATCTGGGGCTGACGGATAGGGGGATCTATCTGTTTTGAAATTATAATCCATCATCTATATGTTAACCCAACTGTTCAACCTCTTGCGAGTTTCTCTGAGTTTGATGAAACGAAAGAAAAATCGATGACTATGAAAGTTAAGAGTTCACTTCGCCTGGCTTGTACCTGACTTGAACCATCTGAATGCAGAAAGATCTAAGGAGAGTGTCCATAAACAGCTCTCATGGAGAGATATCACCGTGGCACATTCCCAAGGTGTATCTAAATACTTCACTGGATGCATTTCTGATCCGCGATGGCCAAGACTCTGCGAGAAAGTAGGTAAGTGAGTGCTGAAAGTCTCAACTTTCAGAAAAGTGAAATCAACTGCAGCCCTCATCATCATGTAACGTAGAATCGACTACTACAGCTGCCGAACATCATCATTAGCTCATCATCTTTAAGCACAGGAGCTTAATTTTGCGAGCATAGAATTCTTCAAGGAGTATCAGTAGTAGCGAATGCTTTCCGTTTTGACCATTGTGAGATATAGAAAGAGCTGTAATTTTTCTTGCTACCAAGCACGTGGAGCTGTCAATCGACACGAAAGTATTCGAGACAGCGTTAAGCTACGGCTGATGTTAATTCATTACATTGATGGCTTTGTTCATTGATGCTCTTGACAAAGACGTGTGCCAAGTTGAGTTGAAGTGATGAAAGCTTACATCGGGACAACCTTGATCGTGTTCCTCGTCTCCCACACGAAGTGATCAGATTGGTCTCTTGTTTGCTAATTGAATATGATTCGAAACTTCATCATTCATAAGTTCGGTACGATAGCGTGAACAGTAGAAACACAGAACAGAGGAAGATCTGCAGAGAGGGAAAACTCCCAAATTCTAATTTGAGTGGAAAGGTTTTATACAGATGCTTTTTCAGCACGAAAAACGAGTCGTACCTCGCTGGGCCTACGATTCGGTTCTACTCGTCTTTCTTTTCTTGTTCCCCCTTGACAGCATCGACCTTGACATCTTCTTGGGTAGAGTAATACTCCTTTGGGCTGAATGCGTACATCTGAAACATCCCAAAAAACACCATCTCTATACAGACGAAGAGATTTTGGTATGCCTCTTCGACCTGGGAAAGGTCCAGGAATTTGTGCTCGGCCCTGATGACCCCAGAGTATGCGAGAAGTGAGAGCACAATTCCCTGCCAGAAGGAGAAAAACACCACTCCCTTGATGCAGATGAACTTAGCCAGAGGATTGTGAGGAGCTAATTCTTTGGCGAAAACGTGGTAGAAAGTGATCAGGGAGTACATGGCAAGTGTCACAGAGCAATTCAGCACCAGGGTGATGGCCCAGGAAAGCCAACCCTCGTACATGTCCAGGGCTTCCAAGCTAACCACCAGCACGGACAGAGCTGGTCGGATGACGACGAATTGCCACGTCCACAGCTGCAGCAGCTTCAAGGTCTTCTGGTCGAGCTTCACCTCGTGGGGTTGGAACAGGGTGATGGGGAAAGTGTGGTGGATGAGCCGGCCCTTGATTTCATCCGGCACGGCGTTGCTGGACGTAGACACGTTCAAGTAGCAGTACATCAGCTTGAGAAACGAGGCGATCACCAGAGCCTCGTAGCATTCTTTAATGGACTCGAGGATAGTGAAGAACACCTCGCCTGCGCGCACCTCCACCAGCCCGAAGAAGGACGTGACAGCGTACAGCGGTGCCATACAAATGATGATCATGATCTGCTTTTGCTGCTCCGGCTTCACCCAGTGGTACCTGTGTTTCATCATCAACGTCGCGCTGAATTGCAAGCACAACACTGTCGACAGCCCTGCTATCAGCAATGTCCCCGTCCTCACGTCCACCTGCAACCCCAGAATTTCCATCTCTCTCTCTCTCTCTCTCTCTCTCTCTCTCTCTCTCTCTCTCTCTCTCTCTCTCTCTCTCTCTCTCTCTCTCTCTCTCTCTCTCTACAATCTCACAATTGCTGTTTACTCCTCTGCTGCTGCTGCTTCATTCGACTCGACTCTGCTGCACGGACTGAAACTTGCGGGAACGAAATCAAATCCGAACGACAGAATGCTGACAGGTGAAGGATTTCGGTTGAAAGGTCCTTTCGAGTGTGGAGAGCAGCCTTCGTGGGTTTTCTTCGATGTTCCGATCAGAGCAGAGGAGAGCAGGGCAGAGCCAGCTCGGTCCGGCCGTGCTCGGAGGTGGCACTGCAACGCTGGAAAACCTCCGGGATCGGACTCTGTCGCCTGCTTCGGGCTCATTCAAACTCTTGCTCGCCACGCCGCTCACGATTGGTCGGCGAATCCACGTGCCTTCTCTGGGGGTCCCAACGAAAGTGGATCGTCTTCGCAGCGTACGTGCAGCTCGAGCATGAGCCGATCCCTCTCTTCTCCCTCCCAGCAGTCAGCCCCTCCAATAATTCCCTCCCTGCAGTAATATATCTCTGCTACCTGAATATTCCTCGCTCGCCTTTTGGGCGGAAGGAGGAGGTCGAACTTCCGTTCGATGTGACATCATACTGTTGCAGTTTGCAGGCGCCATTTGCAAGGAATTTAATACTGCTTTGAAGACGAACCTCTGTCCTTGGTGATCAAGCTTAAGCCTTGAGATCTGGACTTTTTCTCCCTGACCTTGTGGGAGGACCAGTGGGCAAGACTTGATGCATTTGGAGCTTCTGATTATTATTTTTTCATCCACTGCAGTTCCTCTTCCTCTGAGTCCACCAGTGCACTTCATTTGCAATCAGGGCCCAGCATGGATGGTTTCGAACACGGTCGATCGGGTCACGGAGGACTGATCAAATCACCAGCACGGGCACGGGCATTGACCTTGCTCCACAACCCATGCCAGTTGTTTCATCGGAAAAAGCACACTCTGTACGTGGGGCTAAGATATTCAATTAATGTCCGAGCGTATCAATCAGCTTGACCAGAGGAAAATGTTCAGGGGTGGATCTCTGAACCTGAAATTCCTTTCGGTTTTCAGTCTGTCTCCCTACGTTAGCTTTCCTGCACAGACTGGGTTGCTTGAAGAGGAATGCAACCATGATCCGAATGCTTTAATATTCTGCAACTGTGACTCGATAATTAACGACTGAGACATCAGATTAGGGGAAATATGGTTCAGCTAGTGGTAAGGTGTCCTTGAAGCAGTCGAGGTTCATGAGGAAGAGAACAGTCAGTTTAATCGGCTTCATCCCCGGGGCGAGATTAGAATTTTCCGTCCAAACATATATAATCAAGCCCACCTTCATGCATGCAAAACAACTCGTGAGGAAAATGGCGCAAGGCCGACAGATTTCATAGCGGCGCGAGAGGAAACTGCTGTAGAGCGAGACGAGCGTGATTTCCTCTCCGTTCGACGAGCTACGGTCCGATGTTCGGTACAAGATACGGTGATGATGACATCAAAACCAGTGCGGGGTTGACGTGGCATTGCCGACAACTCATGGTTCATGGAGCCACAAACGAACAGCCACTTCTCACCTTAAAAGAGAAACTTGCAAAATGGAGGGAAATGTGGATCTCTCCCGAATAAGAAATGACTTTTAAATTATAAATCATCACCGGAAGGAATGGGGGAACAACACTTGTGCACCTCACTGCTCGGAAGACCTCTTCTGGATAGCTTTCTTGACTAGTACCACCAACAAGTAACAACGAGACCATCAAGAAGCACTCCTGATATTTCTATCAATCGAAATGATCGTTGAAGTTCCACAATTGTGTATAGCATGTGATGGTTTTGCGCAAGATTCAACCGTACTCGACCAGTCCTCTTGCATTGTACTCATTCTCCATGGAGGTGGAGCTGAGTCTGACTTACAGATGCCTGAAAATCATCATCATGTCCGGGGAGGAAGAAAAGCCCGAAGCAACATTCTCCTCCTTCCCTCCCCCTCTCTCTTTCTATCTGAAATTTTCCGAATATTGCATTGTGCAATTTCCATCCATTAATCAAAGGTCTTCCTCGTCACTGCAGCTTCTTCGATGAAGCTAAAAAAGCTCAATAAATCGAATTCTGAAAGCCAAGGTGTTCTGTCGCTCTTGAGCTGGATGTGTTTCTCCTTCGATGGTGGGTCGGTGGACCGAGCCCGTCTCTGTCCTTACGTCCACGTGTCTCCACAGCTAGGCTTATGTTTGGTCCACGCGTCTGGCCTTTAAGGCACAAGCACGCCATGCTCGTTGGCATTAACAGAGCTCTGCCGGCCGCCGTGCAGCCACGTCGGCAAGTATGAAATTGAAAAGTCATATTGAGATCATTGAGCTCCACGTGGCGAGACTTCCAGACTACAAACAAATTTTGCCTGCTGTGGTAGCTGTAGATTAGGAGTACCAAGTATTATAAGGAAAATGGCTGTGGATACCCATTATGTAGAACAGATGTGATTCGCTAGGCCCAATATTTCGCAATGGGATATATGTTACAATCCTGCTGATATGATTAACAATCCTTTTACATGAGCTTCGAGAAAAGTATCACCTAAAGTGATTGATTCGCTATGGATACATTTTGAACAACAAGTTAAAGATCATAGAGACAGTACTTATTGTATAATATAATAAACTATCACTCACATTCAATACGTGTTGAAGTTGGGACTACAGCTCCATATAGCTGGACTGATAACTCCATGAAGTTCAATTCCAGTTCAAGCGCTAGATGCTGAAATAGAAAACGTAAATAACTCTTCTTGCTACACCATGATAAGGATGAGATTTTTTCATCTCTCAGAAATATGTTCCATTTTTCCAAAAACAAAGCTTGGATCATATATGTTGTGAAATTACATCAGCCGCGTACATAACATCAAGATGTTAAGGTGGCCAATGTGAATTATGAACTTTAGGAGATTTCCATGAAGTGAAGATTAATCTCCATTGAATATATACTACATTCAATAATAAGCATATCCTGAATAACTTATGAATTAGCTAACAATAAATAAATGTAGAATATAAATAATGAAAATTGATCATTTTAATTGTTCCAGAATCTTTTTATACTTCAACGTAAAAGTGATAAACTATAGAAAGATAATAACCAAAATTAAATAATATTACCACGAACACATTGAATAGAAGGAATCAACCTCTCTCTGATGTAAGCATATGTCTACATTGTATGTATTCCAATGTCTTTTGAGTTTAAAATGAACAAATGAATGAATGTTACACAAGAATCCAAGCTTGATCTACATTCTTATTCAAACCTTCAAACTTTAAGATTTTTGTTGTATTTAATATGGCTTGAAACTTAGTAGGTATTGAATTTATAAACTGTACTTATATATGTACAGTCGTGAAGGAGATGATCAAATTATAATTACTTCGTAGTTAAAGTTGTTATTAAATTCATGATTCTTTATGCCATGTTAATTTGTAAATGTTGTGTTGAAATATTTGAAAGGAAAAATATAAGTCATTTTTTAAAAAATAATTAAATTTTCAATTAGAAGATTTAAAGTTTGTCTTTTAAGTCTATCGACATATCAGTGTTAACTCAATGTACTGAGTTTTAATCGTATATCAAAACTAGCATCAAAACAATATTATCATAGTTGTGTGAAATAAAAATACATATATTATAAAATATTTGAAACATCAACTTTCTAATATGCACAAAAGATTAAGAAATTAAAAACATTTAATCATGTCTCAAAAAAATTTCGGATTTCAGAATTTTCATAGTAACTTCAACAAAACATAATCTATTAAACCTAACGATACACAAAGCTAAAATCAGATTCTCTATTATACAGTAATGTATGTCATGAACTGAGTAAAATATTAAGAAACCCCAATTAATTATATGATAAATGCTTTTTAAAAATGTCATACTTATTTACATCTAAGCAATCATGCTGATACTAATTATTTTTCTTAAGTAGATTGGAAATTTTATTTTGGATAAATATAATGAACAACTAAGGGTTGATTATCAAATTCAAAATGTTTGGTTTTGAACTACTCACTGTTACTTCAATTGAAATTTTTGCAACACCACATATTTTTATCAAGTTCTGAAAATATTACTTTTGTAATAAAATGGTGAAGTCTTTTAACTCACAAGGTCATCTTTATTTGCTTCAAATGGATTTATATGTACGATATCTTTGAGCATTCATTTGGACGAAAAAAATTTGTATGTATTTTTGAAAGTATATGTTTAATTATCTTGTTAAGTCTAAGTCATGGTTTCGATTTTCAAAATATTTTTGATAATTTGATAATTGATAATCTAGACTACATCACAATTTATACGATGGATACATTCTTCATAGAAAGTCATTTACTTAAACATATCATATAATAACATTATATAATTCATCTTCAAGATCAAATATTTAAGAAATTCAGAACATAATTTCTTACTATTCCAAAGCTAAAATTTATTATTTAAGCTTTTAGTTTTTCCAATAAAATCAAAATGCTTCTGTAGTGAACTTGATATACATTGTAAAAAAGTATTATCAACAACACATGCTTTGTCTCTAATTACAGTGAGAAAGAAAGTCAGTTCAAGATTGAATAAAGTTCTCCTTTCTTTTACAAAAGAAGATACAAAGAAAATAGAAAAAATTCAGAATCTTACTGTACATATAAAAAAAATATCATTGGATTAATATGAAACGTTGAATGATCTACAATTTTTGATAATTTTTTCTAATATACAGAAATGAACATACAAAAAAGTATTCATATAAATACCTAAAATATTTGACAATATCTTCATGTACTGCAGAACATTGCATGTTAAAAAAGGATATTAAGTAAGCTTAATAGAAGATTTCAATTTCATAATTTACATAATAGTAAGTGGAAAAGTACATGACGGTACGTCATACATTATGACATCTCCTTGATGTCTATAATCATTGCATATAAGATAAATTCCAATAGCTATTTATTTATAACTTTGTTAGTTTGCATCTTCAATCTAGTTTGAAACGTGGAAAAATGTGGTCAGCTATAAGTTGAAGAATGAAGTATTTCCAGCGGGGTAACTTTTGAACCTAGAATATACGACATTTCAATCTTGCGTTCTGTAAAACTAAGTTTCTATGTATTAACTGTATTTCCATCATTGAACTACTCTTGATGGTATTAATGAAGTAGAATACACCTTACAATCATCAGATGTGCATCGACATTGTTCTATTTAGACCACTCCTAATTCAACATTCCACTCTCTTCTCTGTTCTTCGTTTGAGTGCTGACTGCCCTTCGTAGAGATAGAATCTTTTCAGGTAGGATGTACAGAATGTGTAGTAATGTACGAGCCCACAACGTTCAGGTTTATTCGGAATATATAGGATACGACTCACTATAACAAGCATTTGTACTCTTTGGGAATAATGTACACCGTTGCTTACAAGCTTTTGTACCACATCTCAATGCCAATGGGTCATAATCTGGGAATGAATAAGACTGACTTAAGGAACCTCGTCCTGAAAATCATAAATGTATGCTTGATCAGAAATCCTCACCGAAGAAAAATTTGGGTCGTATTCTTTTCAGTTCCGTGATGATGATATCATCATCACTTCATGTTTTATTTCTCGTACTTTGAAAATAACACTGTATACAATCCTCAGAGGATCATTTTTACATATCAACATTTTCATCCCTCCTTAACCGAGACAAATTTACTTTTACCTTTCCAAACCACCTCCAGGTAGATCTTTACCGTCAATCTATTCCTACATCTTTCTTACTTGGCGTTATGTCTTCTTCATTGACAAGATGGACAATGGCAGTCGTTTTGTCTGCTCGACACGGTGGGCCATATGTTCAACCCTTCAAGAATTGAGGGCAATGCACAAACTTTAAAAGTGGAATAATATGCTATCAAGACAAGGAGGAGTTTCCTGAAGACAATGGATTGATCAAGCTTAAACCATTCACTCTAAGGGTCAAAGGTTCCTAAATCCTCATTGCCTGATTCATCCTGGTGTTAACTACATCGCAGATGCTTCATCAGCATGAAGCGTCTTTGACTGTCCTGGTGTAATTGAGTTGCAATATTGGCCTTCAATGTTGTGGCATTTATGGCATGGATAACATTGACCTTTTGACAAACAAAATGTGGTATCGTCAATTGTACAACAGTGCTTTCTAGAAAAAGTTAAGCCGCATATATAGAAAGAAACAAGATCCAAGTGTAGAGTTGAACAAGGGAGACTTCTTCGGTAATACTCCTCCCGCGCAGACTGAGACCATCACAAAGAACTCGATATACGTTTCTAACCACTGCATACCTCATTTCTCTCCAAGCAGTACCTTAAGGCATGTACGTCCATTTTTCGACCTTCTAGTATCCTTCCTATAGTTACAAAAATTACCGAAGAGAGATATTCTCTTTTACCAAAGACATAATATGCAAAAAGAACACATTCACTGCATTTCACAGACTCATTTGATCTACCATAAGTTTTCCTGCAATAATATCATGTACTCACCACGAAGGAAAGACACAATGATCTACTCTACATCAACATGTCGTAATAGGCAGTGACAAGCACATATAGCAAAGCTTTCAGTCATACACGACAATCCACCTCGTTGAACGCAATTTCCCATCTCATCGACTTGAAGCAATAACCACCTTACTTTACATCTATTTACATTCAAAACAATTATGACTGTCATACAAGTAAACAGTGTAAATGTTGGTCAAGCTAAATGATATTACTTTGATGGACAGATAAAATTCTATTTACACAATAATTTTCCCTATGTCGAGTGGAAGTTACTTGCAACTTGCCTAGAGCACCAAGCCTTGCGCTGGTGGTGGTTTTGTTGGCTCTCCACCAGCAGACCCAGAATATGCATGCAAAGGGGCCTCGAATCCACGGGAACTTGGATACCTCTGAGGTGCGTTGTCAGCTGCTGAACTCAAGGAGACAGCTGCAGGCTCGGTGTGCACTCTAGAGTAACCATCCCCTCCATAAGGATGCTCATCGTGATCCTCTCTATGCGTTGTTTCACCTACGACAGCCTTCTCTCTCACTTTCTGACCAACTTCACCTGCAGCCATCTTAACTTTGTTGAATGTATTGGCCATCCAGCTCGCTCCAGTCAAGACATACCTGTTTTTCATTATAGCAGAACCAGCGGTATTCACCTTCTCCTCGGCAACAGCAAAAGCTGATTTAGTTTTCCCAGAAACTTGGTACTTTTCATCAACAGCCTTCAACTGCTGATTGACCACAGATGTACCTGCAGTTATTTTTTCAGTCAAACCCAGCTTCTTGTCAACTGAAACTACAGTAGCCGCAGCTGTAGCAGTCAATCCATGCTTCTCGTCAAACTGCTTCGCCTTGGCCATCGCATCCTTGCCGACCAGATATCCTTTTGCAAGCATTTCTGTAATAACAGCCTGTGCCTTGTTCTCCTGTGCCGGTGCACTCAGTGGTTCTCCATGCTGAAGGTTACACAATCCAAGACGTACGAACTCAGTCAGTCTGCAGCCCCCAGAAATGAAGAAAAAAGCTCCTCAGGTTCAGTGGGGTTTAAGGGATCTCGTCGCTCAACCAATTATGCTGCTCAAGCAACTGCAGAAAATGCCGCGCGAGTTGCCATTCAACTTGGATTTAAGTACTTCATATACGATGCATCATTTTCTATTTTTTTCAAGTAATCAAGTTCAGTCGACAAATTTTACATGAAACTGTAAAGAATCAACTTGTTATGTTGTGCTAAACACGGCTACCAATCTTTTGCGCCGTTAAAACACGAGAAATTTTGATAGGTCTATACCAATTCACGTTGCACGGCTGGAAAGGGCATCATGTGACCGTTACTTTTGATAAGAATGGGCTGCTATTCAAGAAACCTATTGAGATGAAAGACAGTATGTGCGAAGAAGCTTCATCAACGATTCATTCAAAAATATTAGACGAATGTGCAGTTCCTCACCAATTCATCGTCGCTGTGCGGAGAACGAGGCAGGACATATCCCTCCATGGGAATGATGCTCACTGATTGATCCACAATCGTTGCTCCCTGCAAAATTGCATGACTATTCAGACGATTTGAAGCACAATTCATGCCGTCCCGACAACCTCCTACCTCCATGATAATTTATATACAACGAGACCATACTGAGGAGACTGCAATGTCCTCGGTCAAATTCCAGTGGAAAGCACTCACCGAAAGAAGCAGGGCGGTCTCAAGGGCATCGGCATTTTTGAAAGTTACGTACGCGACCTGTGACCAGTCTCCTTCTCTGAAATCCAAGTAATAGAAACTTAGAACCAGTTAGGAGCCAACAAGAACGCGCATGAAATACTCGAAGGGTTACATTAGGCTATAAATCTTACGGAAAAATCCGTATCTTGTTCAGAGACAGACCTCTGAAGCTCGATGTGAGTGATTTCTCCAGAGAAGGAGAAGAAATCCCGAATGTCATGTTCCGAGGCACGAAGTGAGACACCGCCAACCCGAACCGTGTGTTCCTGCAATAAAAAGAAGGCAAAATGGAGAACGTAAGGCGACCAATTGTAAACCTTATGTCCAACTTATGAGCCAAACTAAACGCTTACATTTGCAAATCACAGAAGTGTCATCAAACAAGGCATATCAAACGGATCCTCGTCCCAGCCCTATTCTGACAAAGCTAATCCACGCAACACCCCAATCGAGCAAACGAAAGCCTACACGCAGAAAACAGATCGGCAGTCTCCTCCCCACCAACGCTCCGGACATCACCGCAAGATAGCAATCGAAACTCACCGGCATCGTCTTAGAATGCAGATACGGTACCGATCAAGGTTTTCAACCGGATCGAGCCTTCACTTCTCGTCCAACCTCCACCGAAAACGCCTCGGTCGACTTGCAAGAAACAGATACTCCCAGATTGTCAATGCAGAACGATCCTCAACACCAGATTTGGTACAAACCCCAGTTCAAGCGCCAACTTCCCTCTGTCGGAGAGCGCAGAGAACGATAACCGATGAACCACGCAACCAATGTCCAACAAGAAGAAACCTCAACAAGGGGGACACGGAAACCGAATCAGACTGCCCACATTGAGAAGAAAAGAACAGAAAAGAAAAGATATGGGAGGGAGAGGCAGAAGGAAGGGAAATAGAATGGGGTGGAGTGGAATGGAGTAGAATGGACAGACGACGGGAACGGAGGAGGAAGGAATCAAAAGCAGCTTTCTTCTTCGTCGTCACACAAAGAGAAAGCGAGGGACAGAAGAACTAGCAGACAGAAAAGATCGAGAGAGCGTCAGTCTCGCATACCCAAGTCTCCAAGAGGAGTAAAGGAGAAGAAGACAGAAGCCTTTACAACAGCAGTCCTCCCTCCAGAGTCCAGGCCTGCCCTGCCTGCCTGCCTGCCTTCCTTCCTTCCTTCCTTCTTTCCTTCGTGCCTGCGCTTCCCTTCTCTTGCGTCCCACCGGTGGCCTCCCCTCCCCTTCCCTTCCCTTCCTTGCTTGCAGCGTGCTGGCGCGAGCGACGAGTGTTCCTCAGGACGCGTTTCTGTCCCTCCTGTTCTCTCACACTGCGCACGTCGTCCTTGTCCAGACCGGCCCGACCCGCGCATGAAAGCCTCGCTGGCCTGCATCGGGCCATGACCCAGTCCCCGGCAGCCGCTCCAGTTCGTCCCGCCGCATGAACAACCCTCGTGGACTTTCCGGCGAAGGAAGGAATCGGAATCCTGCTGCTCACCGTTTGTCATTCTGTATTTAACCCTTACAGCATGTGGAGGGTGAATGCGTCATAATCCGTCCTGCCTGATTGGACGGACCGATTTCAACATTTCCGTCCTTCGGATTCCTTCCTCTGTCTTTCTGTCTGTCGTCTGTCGCCGGACCCCGTGAGTGTGCAGAATGGGTGCAGACTTTTCACGATTCACAATCAGTCAGACCGAGCTCATTCGAGCTCATCTGGATGTAAGAAGCTCATGGTTCTGGCTCGACATGTACCTTTTCACCCATTGTTACTTGTGGTAACCTCGGCCCAACTAAGCAGCCTTCTTAGACTCGCACAGTCTCTTGGAATCGTTCATGGCTCGATTGATGATATGAACGTGATATGTCGAAATAAAGATCGAGGCTAAGTTACTCCTACGTCTCTCACCGACAACCGAATCACTCCGGAGACGTACAACAAGAAAACGACAACTCGACAAGTTTTGACCTCATGACATATACACCATGCTAGTCTGTCAGGAATGTCAATTTGCACACGATCATGGAGTTTTGCAAATTTTGTCAATTCTTTCTCTTTACTCGAACTGAGAATCTTGTTGCGTGAGCAATGTTCATTTCCTATTCAAGAAATAGTCGAAGCGCCGTAATGTAACCTAGTTAAGAGCCCACAGGCGATCGTTTCCTTAGTGACCGTTCCCATTGTAGTCCATATACTAGACTATAATATATATAAGTATCTCTCAACCTCGGTAGCAGAAAAGACAATTTGCAGTGTCATACTGTGCGATGTAACTAAACCCCTGATGATCAGATCGATTCTTTGATATATGAAAAATTCTACCAAAATTCATAGCCTTCAAATATCTTGGAGTAATCTTCAAGATTTAAAATAACATATACCAATATCATTCTTCATTCGTTTCGTGTCAACATATAATTGATTTTCTATCTATTCAAAACATGATAATCAAAATAACTCTGAACATATGTGATGTCTCTGCATACGGCAATTTTTTGTAACATTTGTATTGTTTAATGTAACTAGCTGGAAAAGTGCAAATGCCTAGACAATTGCTTGCAGTAGATAATGATGATACAAAGGTGTCTCTGCCATGGCTTTTTGACCTATGGACTATCTATCTCTGGACGAACCCAACAATTATATTTTCATCGACCAAATCATTCACTGCCAATGTGTATTTTGTTTTATTGATAAGTATCCCTCGAGAAACAGCTGGTTGATTGAACCATATACGAAATCAGGAGGCCCATGCACGCCACACAGTTAGTAAATCACGACAGATCATTGTTTTGTATGGCATACACGAAGTGGGACTAAAATAATGTTCATCTATACACAAGCTTACCGAAGTCACAATCTATGGCTACTGCCGGTCGCAAGTAAATGCCAACTCTTGCTGTGTACCTCTATCTATTTTACTGATGAGATTCGATGTGAGAGAGTTCCATGTTCTGGCAGTAACAAGGTCAGCAATCAAGTATTAATCTTCATGAAGCATTTGTATAATCAGCAAATACATTCTATAATATATATAAAATCAAAATTAATCATAATGATCGAAAGCAAACAAAAACATTTAAAAGAATGAAAACTATGTGATATACATTAATCACATTTAATCATTCTGAAAGACGTTGAAATTTATAGTCACGTTATCATATCAAAAAATATTGAGTTAAGCAAACAACATATTGAGTTAAGCATAATTTCAATTCTCCAAAATGGTTTAACCTAACTTACATCCTAGAACTTGCACTTCACAAATCGCACATTTAATCTGTAATAAACAGTATGAAAAAACAAGAGAATTCCTATCCTATAATCTAATCAGCATAATAACCAACTTTCTACTGAAATCTAACTTCTGTATGAATTCTGTAATGTTTGTCTTTTTTTAACACATATTATATGTATTCTTTTCAAATGACAGAAATGTTGTTGACTATCCTTGCAACTTTTACGAAATACATTTATGAAATAAAAGTACTTCATAAGCTGATGAAAACTTTGAATTTTCATATCTACAACAAAGTTTCCAATATTCAACTTAGAAGTTCAGCTTAAAAAATGAAAATTGAAACCTAAAACATAAACATAAGATTGAAACCTCATTACTTGAGAACTGAAAGCTAAAAAATTTAAATTAAAAGATAGAAAGTAAAAAACTTCAAAATTTTAAAATAACATGAAGATTGATAAATCAACAATTATAAATTGAAATTAGATATTTAAAAATGAAACATTAAACATTTTAATTAAAAATTAAAGTTAGGATTTAAAAAATAAATATAAAATTTTACACCTTAAAATAATATATATATATATTGTATTAAAGCATTATAAACTATCAACAGAGGATAGAACATTTAAAATTTAACACGTAAATCAAGAATAAAACATAACGCATTAAAAAATAAAAATATAATTAAAAAATGCAATATAATGTAGAAATTTTAAAATGAATAATAAAATATTGAGAAAAAAATTATAAATTTTAACATAGTACATTCAATATTGAAAATTTTCAATAAATTCAAAATAAAAACACAAAAAATAGACTTTACAATGAATTATTAAATATTAAATATAGAAAAATTTGAAAATTTGACTAAATAATATTCATAATTTAATATATGAAGTTCAAATTTGAAAATTTGACTAAAAAAATTCAGAATTCAACCTGAAAATGAATAATAAATCACAAAAAATGAAAAAATCTAAATCTAAAATATAAATTTAAAAAATTGAAATTAGTAAACTGAATATATAAATTATAAAATTTTTGCACCATGAAAATTCATAAATTCAAAAATGAATACTCTCGAAAGGGAGACAATACAAACTTGGAGATGTGCAAACGCGAGGGTTGCGAGAAAAGTTTCATCACATCGTCCAAGTTTCTCATGTTCACCGCCATGCTGCACACAGCAGCTCACTGCACATCTACCATACGGCTCGTATCCTCCAACCTTTCAGAGTTCTCAGATTCTTCTTCTCTCTTCCTCCAGCTACAAAAAAAATTGAATATAAAATATGAAATAGACTCGTAAAACATAAGATTAACAAATAAATTATAACAAATTAAAAATATTAATAATTAAATTTTATAATTACAAATGCATAATATACATATTAACATTGAAAATATACAAAATTTATGATTTTAAAATAAAATCGTAAAATATAGAATATGAGATAAATTATTAAAAATTAAAATATTTTCATTATAAAAGACATTATATTAGTTTTAACATTGAAAGTATAATTTTTTTAAAAAAATTATGAATAAAAAGAAAGCAATGAAAATAAAACATTTAAAAAAATTTTAAATTGTAAAAAAATTCTAAAAAATTTACAAATTATAAAAAATTCTAAAAATTATAAAATATAAAAAATTATACAAATAAATTAATAAATAAATAAAAATTATTTTTACATTATTTAACACTTATAAATAATTATAAAAATATTCATAATATAGAGTAAAATAAAAAAATTTAAAATATAAAATAATATTAAATAAATTATTTAACATTTAAAATAAAAATTACAAAATAAAAATTTTAACATTGAAAATAAAAATTAATTAATTATAACATTAATTATTAAAAATACAAAATATAATAGTTTAAAATATAAAATAAAAATTATAGCCTACATTAATTCAATTCGGACTTTTAGTGTGTTTTTTTGATAGATATGTTCTTGAGCAAATCTTCACACCACACATAGATGTATCTAGCTTGTGTCTAATCAAAGTAAAAATTTATACTTTGTGACATTCATGAGCTTCTATTGTGACGGATAGTTAGTTGTATATACATTTTGTATAGTTGAATGATAAAGATATGAGACTTGTGTTTTTTTTTTTAAAAGGATACGTGCTCAATAACAAGACGTGACAAATCTATAGATTTCAATGGGCATATCGATGATCTCAAACGTTGAACTCACCAGAACAAACCCTATTACTTACCCATGTTATCCATGATAGAGGGCGTCGCAATTGTAAAAATGAGACAAAAAGTTCATTGTCGACACACCAAGCAATTGTAATGTTTGGAGTTCTATTTTTACTTGTTGCATACTAACTTTTATCCAAATCAATCTAGTTCGAAAAACCACACACTGAGTCAAGCTTCCTACACTTGTCTCAAAAGCTCAATTCGAGATGATTTACTTATTCTTCGTGTTATAATGCTACATTACTTATTTTACTTTGTGATTACTAGTTAACTTAGATAAATTTTGCACCAAGTGTTTGAATGTGAGAAATTAAAAACATGAGAAATTGGAAAATTTTAATGTAGTTGACTAGATCATTAACAAAAAATTGTATATTTTAATCTTTTATAATATCATCAAAAAAATTAAATCAACTATTTGAAAATTTGAACAATCATTATTTGAATGTTAAAAGAGATCAAACAATTATTTTATTTTATTTTTGAACAATTAGAAAAAAATTCAATTTTGTTGAGTATCAACATAAATCAAATATATTAATGAGTTTTATCAATTATATATATATATATAAAAAATTCTTGAGAATAGTATATAATCTCTGCGGGGGTCTTGTAGTTCATCAATTCTGAAAGTTCATGAGGCAAAACACAAGTGAATGCGTTGGAAGAGAAATCAAGCACTTGAAGTTTCGGATCATGTAGCAGCCTAGTATATGTCATTGAAACGGAGAAGTTAATGAGTATGTTACCCTACTTCCTTCGATAAAATCATGCTCAAATAAACCAGCAGATCATTAAGAAAGATGATAGTGTATAGAAGCTGACCTAAAGTTTGTCAGTTTGTGTATTGAATTATCCTACTTTTCATATGATTCTTTGGGTGAAAGTTGTGCTAGCTAAACTTTGGC